CCGCCAAAGGCGAAAAAATTTGTCTAGAGTGAAGCGGGACTGGCTCTGGCATTTTAGTTTCCGTCCCCGGGTTCAGGGGCTTACACCTGCAGTGACCTGGCAGGCCCGCTTCTCCCAGTATGGGTGGGATGACACAGTGGAAAGAACGTGGCCTGTGTCCCCTGTGCCCGTCAGCAAAGTGCCCTACTCTCCCAGGCTGCAGTTCCATCGTTAGGCTGACTGAGAACTACCTCACAGGGTGGTCATGGTAATGGGCCGACCCCTTACTAGGTCCTGTGCGGTGCTGTTAATGTATCATGGACGGGAACTAATTTAACTCTGGTAACGAGTGAGATAGGCACTGTTATTCGCAGCCTCTTACATCTAAGAGGACGGTGGCACGGAGAGCCATTCTGTAGCTCACCCGTGGTCACAAGCTAGGAAATGGAGGAGCTGGGTTTAAACCCCGGCCGGCTGGCTCCAGAATCCTGAGCCTGGGTTTTTAGCTATTAAGTACTCGTGCCTTTAATGTGTGGAAAGAAAGTACCTGGCCATCCTGGGGTCTCAGGTGTGTTGTGACAGTAGGTCTTCTGACCTGCCTTCTTCCCTCACCCCTGGAATCTACACATGCTGAACTTCACCTCACAGTGGAGGGGCTCAGCTGTGTGCTTGCCCACTGGGCTCCTTGTCTCCGCCTCCACTCTTTAGGACCCTCGCAGCAATGGGCAGGTGGCTCCTGCTGTCCAACCTGACCTCTGACACCACCCTCCTTAGGTGGACATCTTCAATAAGGAGCTCCTGCTAATCCCCATCCACCTGGAGGTGCACTGGTCCCTCATCTCTGTTGACGTGAGGCGACGCACCATCACCTACTTTGACTCGCAGCGCACCCTAAACCGCCGCTGCCCTAAGGTTTGAGAGGGAAGGCGGGGGGGAAAATCCAGTGGTAAGGCATCGTGGGCAGAAGGGCGGGCCTGGTGCCTGGGACCACTGTACCCTAGGTTCACTTGGGAAACCAAGGCATCACTTCCTCCTTTTCCTGTCTCCATAGCATATTGCCAAGTACCTACAGGCAGAGGCAGTGAAGAAAGACCGGCTGGATTTCCACCAGGGCTGGAAAGGTTACTTCAAAATGGTAAGTGTCTGGAGGGAGGGGTACAGGTGGTGATGGTGGTGATAGAGGAGCGGTAGGAGGAAGAAGTGGAAGCCACACCCCGAGGAGCATCCAGGTGAAGGACTTCATTTTTATTCTCTAGAACGTGGCCAGGCAGAATAATGACAGTGACTGTGGTGCCTTTGTGTTACAGGTAAGCAGAGATCGGTGGGGTTAAAGGTTTGGTAAGGAGGTGGGAGGCTGTTCCACCTCTCTGGTTTGGCTCACAGGCACTTGTGGAGCAGAGAGGAACCTTAGGTGTTAGTGTGCAGAAACTCGGATCCCCTTGGTCTCCCGGCTTCCCCAGGGCCAACACTTGGCCTGGGTCTCTTGGTCCTTGGTCTCTGGCCCTGGTACAGTTGCTTCCCAACCCCCAGTGCAAAGCATTTTCTTCAGGTACCGAGAACAATGACTCTAGAGTCAGGCTTTGAGCCCTAGGCTATGGGACGTTGGCTTTGTGTGTGAAATGTGGATGTTCTGTGAAAGGTTTGGTGAGGTGGATCTGGCTCCTGTGCAGCACAGCACAGGTCCTGACCTGGGGGGATGCTCAGTAGGTGGTTCTCATGGCCTGTTTTGTTAACACCCAGTACTGCAAGCACCTGGCCCTGTCTCAGCCATTCAGCTTCACCCAGCAGGACATGCCCAAACTTCGTCGGCAGATCTACAAGGAGCTGTGTCACTGCAAACTCACTGTGTGAGCCTCGTATCCCAGGCCTCAAGCCCATTCATTAATGGGCATGGGGACATGGGGCACCCTTCTTTCCCATGAAACTCCAGTTCCTTTCCTCTCTTGCCTCTCCCCACCCGATTCCCTTTGGTTTTTCATATTTAAATGTTTAATTGATTTCTGTTATTTTTTTTCTTTGAGAGAATACTTGTCGATTTCCGATGTTGAGGGGGTGGCCAGGGAACAGCCCCCTTTCCCCCCTCTGCTGGGGCGGAGCGTCGCCTTGCGGCCTGGGTGGGGCAGTCATCCCCCTTATGTGTGCAGGGGCGGGGGCAGGAAAATCTTGTGCTGGGGTGGTGGGCGGGCAAAGGGATTACTGCCTGCCAGATCTTCAAACTTTTTTTTATATATATATATATATAAATGCCACGGTCCTGTTCTGGTCAATAAAGGATCCTTTGGAGATACACAGTGCTGGTCTTTCTTCTGTCAGGCTCGGGCTCAGCAGTCACTGTTGGCCACACTGTCATAGGTGTCGAGAACACGGGGCCCGCCATGCTCCGTCCTTCCCCTCTCCCCCGGGACCGGTCATCCCCGGACCCCACCCTCAGCCCCCACCGCAGGGAAGCTGGGGCTCAGAGGTAAGGAACTTCGGGGCAGCACCCACAAGTGCCCGGAGGCGCCCCCGCCCCGCCCCTGCCCGTGACAGGGGCCACGCCTTCGGCTTCCACCGGCGCCGTACGCTCGCGACGGCTTGGGGTGGAGTCCGTCTACCTTTGCTGCACAATACGAAAGACTAAGGTGCGGGTCCGGTGCGCACCTGGAGCGGAGGCCAAGGGAAGCGGCGGTCCCGGGAGCCCGGAAGTCCCTGGAGGCTGAGACCTCGCCCCTCTCGCGCGATAGGGCCCGCCGGAGCACATGACCCAGGGGCTCTCGCCTCCGCACGTGTAGGGGCGCTGGGCCCCAAGATGGCTGCCGGGCCTCGAGGCCTGACTCCCGTATGTCACTTCCGCACCGGCGAGAAAGGCGGGCCGCATAGCCAATGGGGCTGTAGGGGCGGGTCCTCATCTTGATAGGCGTTCAACTTGTCCAATGGTGGCGGCGTGCCGGGGTGCCGGCGAACTAACGTCACGCCGAGTCGCTGAGCGCCGGTGGCCGGGCCGAGGCGGCCAAGCCAATGCGATGGCTGGGGCGGGGTCGGGCGCTCTATAAGTTGTCGATAGGCGGGCACTCCGCCCTAGTTTCTAAGGATCATGTCTGCGAGTCAGGATTCTCGGTAAGAAATCCTTATTGCAAGAGATCGAGGCTACTCACCCAGCCGCTCCTTTTCGAGGGCCCCGCGGGGGGCGGGGGGAGCCGAGGCCCACCGCCCCGGGCCTCCCCCTCCTGGGGTTGTGCGGGGCGGCCTTACGCCGGGACGCCCGGTCCTGGGGGGGGGAGCGAGGGGGCTGGGCCGGGTCGGGAAGGCGAGCGAGGGAGAGGGAGGTCCGGCCCTCGGGGACCGGCGTGCGAGGCCTGCCCGGAGGCCGCTGTCCCCGACGCGGCGCGCAAGGCCCCGGCCCGAGCGCCAGGCGGGGGTCGCGACCCGGCGCGGGGGACGACGGCGGCGGCGGCGGCGGCCGGCAACGCGCGTGGCCCGGGCTGGCGGGTCCGGACGCCTCTTTGGCGAGGGAGGGCTCGCGCGCGCTCGGGGTTCTGGGGGGTTCTGACGGGACCACTCGCCGGAGCGGGGGGCGCCCGGGTCCTCTGAGCCGGGCGCTCGGTCGCGCGGAGAGCCGGGTCGGGGCGGGAGAAGCCGGCCGTTCAGTGTGCTGGTTTTCTTGACGGCCAGGACCGAGCCTGACCCCGAGGAGCGGCCGCGTGAGGCACCGGGAGCCCACCCGGCGCCGGGCGGGCGGGTCCATTTTGCCGCACAAGCCGGGCAATTGGCAAACTGCGGATGGGCAGGTCCACTTTCCTTCAGGGGTGAGCGGCCTGAGGTATGGGAGGGCGACGCCATTTCGCGACGGGGGCGGGCGGGCTGTGGATTGTTCCGTGGCGGGGGGGAGACGCCGCCGGGTGGTCGAGGGAGCGAGCACATGGCGGCCCGAGGGGCTCCCCTCCCCCAGCCCACTTCGCTGCTGAGTGTTGTGCAATCTCCCCCTTCGCTAGCTCGGCTGGGGCTCATTGTGCGCGAGGCCGCCACCGCCCGCGGCCTCCCACATCCGGGCACCGCGAGGGGGGGAGACGGGCTGGAGGGGTGGGGGAGGGCGCGGGCGGAGTGACGTGGGGGGAAGGGGATGTCCTCCCCTCGCAGCCGGGAGGCAAGGGGCGGGACTTCCGGCGCGCCGGGGCCGCGGGGGGAGGCGCACGCGCTCCCGCCGGCCCGGGACACGTGGGCGGGGGCGCGGACCCCCTCCGGGTTCCGGGGGGCGCGGCGGCGTTCCCGGAGGCCTGCGGGGGCCGGGGCCCGAGTCGGTGGAGGAGGAAGGGCTGTGTCCTCGGGGAGTGGCGGCTGATTGTACGGGCGGGGCCGCTTGCTGGGGAGAGCCCGGCCGCGCGGTTTTCTAACTTGTCTCAGTTGGCGTGCATCTGCTTTCCACCAACAGATCCAGAGACAATGGCCCCGATGGGATGGAGCCCGAAGGCGTCATCGAGGTGAGCCCGGAGCCCTGAGCCATTGTTCCCCCTCTCTGGAAAAGACGGTCTGTAGCAGCCTCCCATGATCTCGGGAGGGGTGGTTCCTGTCCCCCAACCGGGTTGTTTCCTCTCCCCAATTCTCATTCCTTTTCGATGATTGGTTTAAAGTATTTGCGTCCTGGGTTGTACGAACCAGGTTGCCGGAGGAGTCTGGTCTCCCCTCCTGCCCTGTTTAGCCTCTGGTTTCACAAGTGGACTGGCCCTCACTGATTGCCCAGGCCGGATAGAGCCAGCTGGCTTCCCCAGAGGGAGGAGAGGTGCAGGGATCTGCAGCGCTGGGGCTGGTACCAAGGTGTCCTCTGTTCTGCCAGAACACAGACTCCCGTTTGACTACTGTGATTTTTCTCTGTCTTACAGAGTAACTGGAATGAGATCGTTGACAGCTTTGATGACATGAACCTCTCCGAGTCCCTTCTCCGTGGCATCTATGCTTATGGTTTCGAGAAGCCTTCTGCCATCCAGCAGCGAGCCATTCTTCCTTGTATCAAGGGTAAGGCTCCTGTCCCAGGACAGGTTCTGGGCTGTCCCTAAACTGGGTACAGTGGCATCTGGTTGGTGGTGCCTGTCTCCTATCAGTCGGGGACCCAGCAACTCCCATGTTTATCCAAGCTTGGCTTTTGGTCTGTGCCCATGCCTGGTTCATGCCCTGGCCACATGCGCGGCTGGTTTGATTTATGCTGGTACCTGTTTCTGAGCTTTGTGCAGTACTGAATGAGTTAATGTCCTGTGTGGGCACTCTGTTGTGATGGGGTAAAGTCTTTGGAGCACGTCGTGCTTGGCACATGGCTCCATTGGCTTCTTGTGGGTAAAGTAAAGCCTTAACATTTCATGACCCTGAAACGTATGTATTCTCATGTCTTGTTTTTCTTGATCTATTTAGGTTATGATGTGATCGCTCAAGCCCAATCTGGGACTGGGAAAACAGCCACTTTTGCCATATCGATTCTGCAACAAATTGAATTGGATTTAAAGGCTACACAGGCCTTGGTCCTGGCACCCACTAGGGAATTGGCTCAGCAGGTGAGCATGTAGGCTTTTTTGCTCCCTCCCCTGAAGGACTGTTTTAGAAATGTGGTCATTAAAAAAAGCATAGATGTGTGTTCCTCAGGACCACTATCTATTTAAGAACTGAATTTTGGGTGGGTGGGTGAGGACTGTGTAAAGAAATAAGTTGAGGACTTCCGGATGTCTGGGAGCTTGTTAGGATTAATTACGAGGTCTTTCCTACCCAAACACAATAAGCATTATTTTCTCCACCCATTTCCTGAGTCAAATGAAAAGGTTGCAAGGTGGAGCCTGGCTGGCCAGGCAAGTTTGGTGGCTGTTTTATGAACAAACCCCCCTGGCAATGGGCAAAGAGACACCTTGGTGGTGGTGCTCTTATATCAGCCAGGGGCAAAGCAGACGGGCAGTCCTGTGTTCATCCTAGCTTGATGCCTGGATTGGTGGCCAGAGCTGTTTCATGCCTAGGGCACATAAAATTCTAATGAGACCTTTCTTGGGTCTTGGGGGAGAAAGGGTCAGAAATGCTAGTCTTGTAAGTAGGATATTTTATGGAGAGTTTAGGAGGATTCTGTGCTTATCGGTGAATTGAGGTAAGGTACTGTAAGTGAAGAGTTCTGGAAGAATTCTTCAGTAGGGCCTTAATGTATGTGCACAACATGCTCTCTTAAAAAGAGTGAACAGGGATCCCTGGGTGGCACAGCGGTTTGGCGCCTGCCTTTGGCCAGGGCGCAGTCCTGGAGACCCGGGATCGGGTCCCACATCGGGCTCCCGGTGCGTGGAGCCTGCTTCTCCCTCTGCCTGTGTCTCGGCCTCTCTCTCTCTGTGACTATCATAAATAAATAAAAATTAAAAAAAAAATCAAAAGAGTGAACATGTCACCTAGCACAGGTTGTGTGGCAGGAGTTCAGTAGGACACAGGTAGATGGCCTTCCATTCATAAAACTAGTTGCAGTGAGATCAAATCAAAGGGTCGTCATGGCTTTTAGAAAGGGCTGTTAGTGTGATTCCTTGTATTCTTAGGAGCCAGACCAAGCTCAAATCCTGAGCTTGCCACTTACTGGCAGTGTGATCTTAAGTGAAGTATCTGCCTGTTTCTTGCCTGAAAAGTGAGTTTAATGGTGCATGTCTGAGTTGGAGAGAACACTAGAAACATTTTATTTATTTTACTTTCTTTTACTTAGAAGCATTTAGTTTTATTTATTTTTTTTTTACTAGAAGCATTTTTTTTTAAATTTTTATTTATTTATGATAGTCACAGAGAGAGAGAGAGGCAGAGACCCAGGCAGAGGGAGAAGCAGGCTCCATGCACTGGGAGCCCGATGTGGGATTCGATCCCGGGTCTCCAGGATCGCGCCCTGGGCCAAAGGCAGGCGCCAAATCGCTGCGCCACCCAGGGATCCCACTAGAAGCATTTTAAAGGGAACCTGCCTTGATCGTAGCTCCTACCTGGGTACATTTTTTTTTCCTGAGTCCAGATACAGAAGGTAGTCATGGCATTAGGAGATTACATGGGTGCTTCCTGCCATGCCTGCATTGGGGGGACCAACGTACGTGCTGAGGTGCAGAAGCTTCAGATGGAGGCTCCTCATATCATCGTGGGCACCCCGGGTCGTGTGTTTGACATGCTGAACCGGAGATACCTATGTGAGTGGCTGTCCTCTTCAACCCTCCCACTCGTGCCCCCCCCCCCCCCGCCCCCTTCGCAGTGTCCTCCTCTGAGGGGCTAGCGTGCACCTGGGAAAGAGTTGCTCTGTGATGAGCCCATGCGTGTCATCTGAGCCTGGCTTCCCCGTCCTCAGCCCCGGGGAGTGTTCTACTTCCCTGGCCTGTCATCTGGCCTCGTGTGGGAGTCTTGGCAAAGGATCAGCCTTGTATCCTGAGAGCAGACCTCTTGTTCCTTCGTGTTCTCGATCAGGAACTTGAAGTCTGGTTTCCTGGTTCCCTCACTACTGTCCATTGGGATTTTCTCCTCTTGTAGCTCCCAAATACATCAAGATGTTTGTACTGGACGAAGCTGATGAGATGTTAAGCCGTGGATTCAAGGACCAGATCTATGACATATTCCAAAAGCTCAACAGCAACACCCAGGTGAGAAAGGGGTTCACGGACTTCACGGACTCTAGTGGGTGGTCAGGGTTTCCTTTATAGGTGGCTGTGTAGTGGGGGTCACAGCAGCAGCACATGCCACAGGAGCCACAAAGAATCTGGGGGCCTCAAGCCTTTTCATGCCGTAGCTTCTGGGTTAGGCGGCACTTGCTTGCTAGGGGAGGAGGGGCCGGCCTGGAGGACCCCCTACCCCAAGGCTGCTCTTTCCCATTAGGTGGTTTTGCTGTCTGCCACGATGCCTTCTGATGTGCTTGAGGTGACCAAGAAGTTCATGAGGGACCCCATTCGGATTCTGGTCAAGAAAGAAGAGTTGACCCTCGAGGGCATCCGCCAGTTCTACATCAACGTGGAGCGAGAGGTGGGGCCCGGTGCAGGGGGCGAGCCTGGCTGCATGTCCCTGGGTAGAGCCCCTCACTGATCTCCCTTCCCCCTCCCAGGAGTGGAAGCTGGATACGCTGTGTGACTTGTACGAGACTCTAACCATCACACAGGCAGTCATTTTCATCAACACCCGAAGGAAGGTGGATTGGCTCACCGAGAAGATGCACGCCCGAGACTTCACCGTGTCTGCCATGGTGCGTTCTCTCCCTTGTTCCCCGTAGTGCATGTGTGCCTGGGCCTCCGAGCCCGTGCGCCTGTGACACGCGCCCTCCCCTCTGGTCCCCGCTCTAGCACGGAGACATGGACCAGAAGGAGCGAGATGTTATCATGAGGGAGTTCCGCTCGGGCTCTAGCAGAGTACTGATTACCACTGACTTGCTGGTGAGTTAGGGAATGGAGAACCCTGGGAAGGAGGAAGGGAGGACCCAAGCTGATTCCCTCTCCAGGGGGCTTGCTTGTGCCCCCCTCAGGAAAGTAGCAACTTGGAATAAAATCTGACATGCCTCAGGGTGCTGGGAAGAGGGGCTGCTGTTGCCTTTGCCTTCCCTTTGGCTGCCTACACACACTGCGGTCCCTCCTACACGCACCGGCTCCCCACCCTTCCTCCTGCTGACCTGTCCTCTCCCGACCCAGGCCAGAGGCATCGACGTGCAGCAGGTGTCTCTAGTCATCAACTATGACCTTCCTACCAACAGGGAAAACTATATCCACAGGTAAGTGCAGATCTAGAACGTTCCCTCCCCCAGCCCTGAGCTCAGGCTCTGTCCTGCCCCCATCCTGAGCCAGACTGAACCTGTCCTATTCTATGCTCACCAGAATCGGCCGTGGTGGACGATTTGGCCGGAAGGGTGTGGCTATTAACATGGTGACAGAAGAAGACAAGAGGACTCTTCGAGACATCGAAACTTTCTACAACACCTCCATTGAGGAAATGCCCCTCAATGTTGCTGACCTCATCTGAGGGGTGGTCCTGCTACCTAGCCTGACCCTGGCCTCAGTCTGGGGGGGGGAGGGCAGAAGAGCAGGAGGGGGAGGGAAGGGAGCCAAGGGATGGACATCTTGTCATTTTTTCCTTTTTTTTTCTTTGAATAAATGTCACTTTTTGAGGCAAAAGAAGGAACGTGAACATTTTAGACACCCTTTTCTTTGGGGCAGGCTGTTGCCCCAGGCGCCGTCTCTTCTCCCAAAAACACTAATCCATCTCCGTAACCTAGTCAACCTCCAAACCCCAGAGGCTTCCCCCACCCCAGTCAGGTGCCTCTCCAGAGGCTGCCAGGGGCCATAGTGTCACTCAACCTCATTTGCTGGACCAAATCTGGAGAATCCTGGAGTTAGATGGCCCAGAGGATTGTCCCCAGGTGGGGGGGGGGGGAGCAGGGGAGAAAAAGTGGTAGCCATTTTTACATTGTTTTGTATAGTATTTATTGATTCAGAAAACAAACACAAAATTCTGAATAAAATGACTTGGAAACTGCCTGTTTGGGCTTCTCATTTCTTGCCTCCCCTTCCCTCCCACCTGTGACTCGGGGCCTCCCTCGTTGGGGCCACCACTCCACCCCCAGTTCATAGTCCCCCAAATTTCCCTTGGGTTTTTTTTTTTTTTTTTTTGTTAACCCCTCCCTGCTGACCCACTAGTGGTAGCATTTGTTGGCCAGTGACCCACTCTATAAAGGCCAGGACGCAAGCACCATCATAAGTGCCTCACGTGTTCTGTCAAGAGGAAGTGATAAATGGAAAAGAGGGAATAGAAACACTTAACCCCTAGAACTGGAGGACATAAGCAAGGGGTGGGGTGCTGTTCCCCGCTGGTTCTGTAACCCCTCAGGCCCCCAAACATAGACTGAAGTAGACAAGTAGGTCCGCAAAGGACCAACTGTCCCCAAACTCCACATCTACCTGTGATACTGAGGCTGGTGACCGATCCCCTCACTTGGTGACAGGGGTTCAATGACTAAGTGATTGGTGGCTGGGGCTGAGGTGCCTGAGTCAGGCTGGGGGTGGACTGGGCTGCCACAGGAAGTCAGACGCTTAATTCCTCTTCCAAAAGAAGGCAGAGGCTACAGGCTGGTGCTGAACACACCGTCCCGCACTGACTGGGGTGAGGCCGATCGGTTATGAGGCCGGCCGTGTTTTTCTTGGGGGCCTTGGTGGGGCTGCTAGCAGGTAAGGGGGAGGCCCGAGGGGAAGGGGCTCAGGGGGCCACTGCCCCCTGTTGCTAACCAGCCCTCCCCTCTGCTCCAAGCCCAGGGGACCCGGAGCGACTGTCCCCATAAAAAGTCGGCCACCCTGCTGCCTTCCTTCACGGTGACCCCTACGGCTACAGAGAGCACAGGAAGCCCTGGGACCACCAGCCACAGCACCACCACCGCGGAGACCACCAGCCATGCGCCCAACACCACCACTCACCAGGCCCCGACCACCCTGGGGCACAGAAACACCACCGTTCACCCAACCACGAGCAACAGCACGGGCACCACGGGCACCGGCAAACCCCGCACCTCCACCAGCTCCCCACGGCCGGGGCCAGGGCCAAGGCCACCACCTCCCAGTCCCAGCCCTGGCCCCCAGGACGCCATAGGAGACTACACTTGGATTACAGGTTCCCAGCCCTGCGCCCGCCTCCAAGCCCGGATTCAGATCGGGGTTGTGTACCCAACCCAGGCAGGAGGGCAGGTAGAGCCACCCGTGGGGGCAGGGGTGAGGCCGCCCACCGCACTGCAGAAGGAAGGAGAGAGAAGGGGGCACGGAGGGCGGGGATGGAGGAAACAGGGAACCCTGGGCGGCTGCGGCCTTCAAAACCTCTTTTTAACTGCTACAGGCCTGGGGCATCTCGGTGCTGAACCCCAACAGCACCAAGCCCTGGGGGGGCTGTGACGGGGCCCGCCCCCATCTGCTTCTCTCCTTCCCCTTCGGGCAGCTCGGCTTCGGGTTCACACAGGTACCTCCCCACCCCGGCCCCCTCGTGTCCCCCTATCCCCCCACCCTTTGCTGTGCTGGGGGCTCCGGCCACCCTCAGCCTTCCTGGTCGCCTCCGCAGGAGCCGCAGCAGGGTTCAGTCTACCTCGACTACCTGGCTCTGCAGTACAACGTGTCCTTTCCGCAGGCAGCGCGTGAGTCACCCGCCCTCGGGTCGCTTGCCCTGAATGTCCGGGCTCCTGAAAGGGGACCTAAATCGGGGTGGCGGGGACAAGGCTCCAGAGCTGACCCTTCCTTGCTCTTTCAGAGTGGACGTTCTCGGGTCAGAACGCATCCCTCCGAGCTCTCCAAGCCCCCCTGGGCCAGAGCTTCAGCTGCAGAAATGCAAGCATCCTTCTTACGCCAGCTCTGCGCCTTGACCTGCTCCACCTGAAGCTGCAGGCTGCTCAGCTGCCCCCTTCAGGGGCCTTTGGGCCAAGTAAGAACTAGTCCTCCCTCCTAGAAGGCTCCCACTGCTCTGACAGCCCCCTGCCTCCTTTATGATATCTTGAACTTTCCTTTCTCTCTCAGCCTTGTAGCTTTAGGGCAACTGCCCTACTTCCTCGGCAGGACTCTGCCCTCTTTCCCTAGGAGCTTCGAGGGCACTCATCACTCTACTTCCCCATGTCCCCCCCACGCCTTCCTCCCATCCTCCTCCCACCTGTGCCCCATCACCACCCTGATGCCTGCCCGCCCTCCCTTTCTGCCAGGTTTCTCTTGTCCCAGCGAACACTTCAACCTGCTGCCCCTCATCGTCGGCGTGATCTCACTCGGCCTCCTCGCCCTGGCGCTGGTTACATTCTGCATCATCAGGAGACGCCCACCCACCTACCAGCCCCTCTGAGCATGTCCCCATCCTTGATACCAGTATCAAGCTTGGGGGGCGGGGGGGGCGCCACTCTCATCACCCACCTGACTCAGAAACAAAGTTACCTTCCTTCTCAGTCTTTGGAACATAAATAGAACTAATGCCATCTGAAGGGATGCAGGAGAGAGAAAGGGTCATAAACGTGACATATTTCTCCTCCCCCATCCCCAGCATAATAAAACCTGCTCGAAACACTGTCTTCGGATTTCCCCGTTCTTCTTGCCAGGACTAAAAGCTGTGTCTTGTCACATGCCTTTCTGCACCTTCCATGGTGGAGTCTCAGGGAGCCAGACAATAAGCGGGTGAGGAGAGATGGACACCGTCATGTGCTCTGTGACCCAGTGCCCTAGAGCCTGCCACAGCTGGTGTCGAAATCTGCCGCATCCCCCTTCCTCCTCTTTTTCTGGGGCCTCTGGCTGCTTCATTTCCCCAGGCCCTCAACCAGTTTAACAAAAACAAGTGCAGCAGGTAGCAGTAGCTGAGGAGTGTTCGGGGAAGGTCACACCTGGGTCACTTCCTTTCCGAAGGCTGTGTGGGAGCTCCTTGGCAACACGAACACCGAACACCGTGCCCGTGTCCAGGGATACTTCTATTTCTGCCGCGGGCGGCAGCAGCAGCAGAGACTCTGACCTCCACCCCCTATCACCCCAGCGTCCGGGATCTAGAAAGGGTCTCCCAGATAGCTGTGGCTCGCACCCGGCGGGCAGCCCGTGAGACCTTGCTGATGGCGTGGGGTCACCGGAATGGCTGGGAGCTGGGGTCACAAATCCCCAGCGGCCTTTACTTGCGGGGGGGGGGGGGGGGCTGCTGATGTGCTTGCTCAGCGGCCGCACAAGGCGGAGGGGCCGGCGGGTGGGAAGGACAAAACCCTCGGGCCTGGGGGCTCGCCTTCCCACCGCCATCGCCTCTGCTCCACCCTCCCGGCTCAGCAGCTGCGGGCGCAGACAGCCAGGAGGGAGGAACATGGGGCTGCGTGGAGCTCGGCGCCTCCGGGGGACTGCCTGGCGCACGCAGTCCTGCTTCCGCCAGCGCCCTTCCCTCTGGAGCCGCCCAGACAACAGGAGATAGGGAGCCATGGCGCCCCCACCCAAAGCCCTTGCGGACACCCATGCTCCTCGTCTCTCAACTTCGAACAAGGTGGAGCCGGCTGGGGAAGACAAGATGGCGCCGCACAGAAGGAGCGGATAGAGGTAGGAGGCGCGGGGTTGCCTCCCAACTGGAAGCATAAACAAAGGCGCGAGAAATGGAGCTGCGCAGGCGCGCCGCCTCAGCATGCCGTAAGACTCGAGCTGGCAGGGCGCTTCCGAAACGTGGTCGCTGCACGAGACCTATTTTACGGGTGGGGTGGCGTGAAGAAAGAGCGAGGAAAAGAGGGCGGGGCGGGGGTGGGGGGAAAAGGCCAGGTCGCGCATGCGCAGCGTCGCTCCATGGCGGCCCGGAGAGACGGGCGGAAGCTAGCTTTGCAACATGGCGGCCGAGGAGGACGGCCTGCTCAAACGGGCGCTTGTACCGCTTCTCTTACCTGAGAAATGCTACGACCAAATTTTCGTCCAGTGGGACTTGCTTCACGGTGAGCTTTATTCGGTATCTTTGTCAAAAGTTCTGCCCGAGCGCCCTCGGGCCATCGGGGGCGTGACTGCGGGCCGGACGGTGGCGACCCCTGCCACGCCGTGCCGGCGGAAATCCCTTCGGCTGGGGGCGGAAGTGCCTCGGCGTCCATAGAGGGGGCTCGCCATGTTTGAGCGGGAGGCCGGGAGAGGGCGGTGGCGTCAGTACTTCTTGGTGATCGTGAAAGGTGGAAAGACTCAGACTGCACAAAACGAAGTTAAAATCTGACCAGGACGGGATCCCTGGGTGGCGCAGCGGTTTGGCGCCCGCCTTTGGCCCAGGGCGCGATCCTGGAGACCCGGGATCGAATCCCACGTCAGGCTCCCGGTGCATGGAGCCTGCTTCTCCCTCTGCCTGTGTCTCTGCCTCTCTCTCTGTATGACTATCGTAAAATTTAAAAAAAATCTGACCAGGTCGTTACGGTCTTTAGTAGATCAGTAGACCTTGAGCAAACCCGCACTTACTCCAAAGCCTCTGATGAATTTAGGCTTCGGGGGCATCTGCAGAGGCGCCCTCCGCCCTCAGCATTTGCTCGTGGTCTAATCCTGGGATGACTTGCCTGCCGGCCTCCGTCTGCGAGGCAGGTCCACACAAAGCCCACCGCAGACGTCAGGCCCAGTCCCTTCCCGGCCCCCCACTCTCCCACTGTGCACCTGCCTGGGTCGAATTCATGACTCTCTCTGGGCTGGAGGTGTGTGCCAGGGCCTCCCAGCAAGCCCCCGAGCAGGGAGGGGCCAGGAGTTCGGGCAGAGGGAGCGGGAGGCCTGTCCTTGGACGGGCAACACGCGCGAAGTGGAGCGCCTGGGTTGCTCAGAGGGGAAAGGATGGGAGGTCTCCTGGGCATTGCCCAGCTTTCTGCAGAGAAGCAATGGAAAGCCTCGGAAGTCAAGGAGTTTAGTTCACGTAAATCCGCCTATTTTGGAAAAGTTACCTGACAGTGATAGGATTTGGGGCAGGAAGGCCCTCTGGCCTTTTCACCTGCCATCGGACAGCCCTGATCTTCCTTGTTTGGGTTTGCCCAGGTCTTAGGGAGCAGCAGCAACCCCCAGCAGCCTGAAAAGCCTTTAGTCCTGAGCTGGATTCCAGGGGCTGCTTTTGTGTTTACTCCGCTTTCTCTTTTCAGTCCCCTGCCTCAAGATTCTTCTCAGCAAGAGCCTGGGTCTGGGCATTGTGGCTGGGTCACTTCTGGGTATGTATGTACCCTATCTTAAGGTGGAGGGCTGAGATACCAGAAATGGGGTGGGTCTCTTAACCAGTGGAGGTGACATGCTTCCCAGTCTGCCCCATGGCTGTTGTGTGGGGCTCCCAAGGGATGTGGGCGCTTTACCTCTGCCTTTCTCGTCCTTTCTCTAGTAAAATTGCCCCAGGTGTTTAAAATCCTGAAAGCCAAGAGCGCCGAAGGGCTGAGCCTTCAGTCAGTGATGCTAGAACTAGTGGCACTGACGGGGACCATGGTCTACAGCATCACCAACAACTTCCCCTTCAGGTGAGGGGAGCCTACCCTCAATCCCAAGGGTGAATGCTCGCAAGTGGGATTTAGGGTGAGGCAGGGGAGAGGGCTTATTTAAGCCTTTCTGGAAATCTGGCCATCACCTGTGGACGTGATGAGAGGAGAGCATCCCAGGGATGCCCGGGATCTAGACAGGTGGGGGCTGAGGAGGACGTCAGAGAACTGTGTCCCCAGATGGATGGGCCATGGAGGCTTTCCCTGCCCCTTTCCAGGCCCGCCTTTCTTCCTCCCAACTCTTGACTCTGCAGCTCTTGGGGTGAAGCTCTGTTCCTGCTGTTCCAGACAGTCACCATCTGCTTCCTGGTCCTGCACTACAGAGGACAGACTATGAAAGGTGCCAGGGTTTACCCGAGAGCAGGGTGTGGTTCTTGGGGGCCCTGATGGGGAACTTTGGCTCCGGGAAGCCAGAGGAGTGGGAGAGGCTGACCAGGGCTCCTTACCTCCTTGGCCCCCAGGTGTCACTTTCCTAGCCTGTTATGCGCTGGTCCTGCTGGCGCTCCTGTCACCACTGACACCTCAGGCCGTAATCACCCTGCTCCAGGCCTCCAATGTGCCTGCTGTGGTAGTGGGGCGGGTGAGTACTGGAAGGAAAGAAGGATACTGGGCAGAGGGAGTGGGGTGGGGACTGGATGAGGAGCAGAGTGGGAGCCCCAGGTGTGGGGGTGTTGGACAGAGGGCGATGGGAAGTCTGTGACGGGAACATGGAAGAGTTCAGATAACAGAACAAAGGTTCTTGATTTCTTCCCCAGCTGATCCAGGCAGCAACGAACTACCAGAACCGGCACACAGGCCAGCTCTCAGCCATCACAGTCTTTCTGCTCTTTGGGGGCTCCTTGGCCAGAATCTTCACCTCCATTCAGGTGAGCTCACCTTCTCCCCTCTAGAGGGCGCTAAAATCCCGTCCTGGCTCAACCAGGGACTTCAGGCTGCTCCCTCTGAGCACTTTGGGCTGTGTGGAAGTGACCCCCCCACACACACCAGCTGCCTCTCACCTAGGAGACTGGAGACCCCCTCATGGCCGGAACCTTCGTGGTCTCTTCCCTCTGCAATGGCCTCATCGCCGCCCAGCTGCTGTACTACTGGAACGCAAAGGCTCCCCACGAGAAGAAAAAGCAGTAGGGCAGAGCTGGCTACTATAGCACACTCCCCATTTCGAGTCATCCACCCGCCCTCTGGGTCCTTCCCATCCAAACCAGTCAGCTGGTGGGATTTATCATTCATTCCTCTGCAATTGTGAATTAGTGAGCCAGGGGTTTAGTGGGAACACCATCCTGGGGTGGGGGTTTGGGGATTTTCAGGCTGACACCTAGTGTGCAGTCCCCTGCATGTACGATGAACTCGTTTCATCATTTGGCAGAGACTCCTCTTTTGGCAGCAGTTCCCAGCTACTTAGATATTCTGGGGTGAGAGTTTGCTCTGTGCTACCCGTCTTCCCCAGCGCCTGACCAGTGGAAAGAATGGGGGCGGGTGGTAGGCGTGTGGCCGCCTCCCTCCCCGAACCTGGTTGGGACCGTCTCCAGGACCCCAGTGCTGGGTGGGGGGCAGGAGACAGGAGTGACTCAGGTAGGGCCCCAGGGTGGGGTGAGGAGGTTCCTGCTCTGGCAGGTCCAGGCGGAAGGGAGCGGAGACTGCTGGTTCCTGCTGCAGCGAGGGGAGGGTGGAACAGAGATGGGGGAATAAAGACTCTGAGACGTGGTTTAATAGTAAAAACTGTGTTCGTCCTACAAAAAAGAAGTGTGTTGTGTTTTGGGGGCAGGGCAGACACCAGAGCACAGGCTTCCTCAGTACTGGAGGAACATTGAGTTCTAAAGAAAGGTTTGCAGCCTGGGGTGGGGGTGGGAGGTTCTGGGTGAAGGAGGAGAAGGAAGCCCTTCCTGGGAGGTCCATGTCCACAAGGGTTAGAGGTGGGTCAGGGGCACGGGGGCGTTGTATGGAGTGGGCGAGCCCGGGGACAGATAGGGGCTGTAGTGAGGGAGCAGCTCTCCCTGGAGCCTAGGGTTACTCTGAGGGAGGGAGCACGGCGAGGCGGCCTCTGGTTTACAGTGGGAAGAGCTGCAAAGAGAGAGACACTGGAGTTAGAGTCCATCTCGGGGCGGGAGGGGTCAGCAGGGCCCCCATTCACAAGTGGGGGTGGGTGGGCCCCACTCTGGCAAACAGTAGAACTCTTCTCCCAGCCCCTAGCTGGGCCCACTGGGCAACGCAGGTTCAGAACCAGACCCCAGGACTAAGGGCTTAAGAGCAGCGCGTTGAGGCACGCTCCCCAGCAGGCTTGCGTGCTGCGCCTGTTTTCCTCTTTTGGGGCGGCAGGCCAGGAAGGGGTAGAGTTGGGCCTGGCCTCTCCTTGCCCCGAGGGTTGGGAGAGGGAGCCGGAGCCGGGTCACAGGAGGGCCAGGAGCAGGGAGGAAACGGGAAATTCAGGTAACTAGAGCACAATCACATCCAGGGGGTCTGCTGTCTGACCCTGAGGGGCCGCTGCTGCCAGGCTGGGATGGAGACGCCCTCCGCGGAAACCCTGGGCCCCCAGAAAGCTCCCACCCTAGTGGGGCCCTGGGTGGGGGTGGGGGGTTCCCCGCCTCCACCAATAGCCTCAGGTTCCCTGCAGCCCCTCCACCTGCTTCCTGGGCACTCACCCGTATCCGCCAGGCAGGTAGGCTGTCGAGTAGTTGGGCGGCTGGTACCCAAAGCCCCTGCTGCCCTGGGTGGTCGCGAGTCCGGGCCCCCAGAGCGGCCCGCCGCCAGCCACGCCACCGCCTCCCTGGCCGAAGTGGGGTGGCCCGGCGCCCGAGCTCTTGGTCTTGCGTCGAGGCCGGTACTTGTAGTCGGGGTAGTCGCGCAGGTGCCGGGCCCGGAGCCGCTTGGCCTCCTCCACGAAGGGCCGCTTCTCGTCCTCGCCCAGCAGCTTCCACTGCGCGCCCAGGCGCTTGGAAATCTCCGAGTTGTGCATCTTTGGGTTCTGCTGCGCCATCTGGCGGCGCTGGGCGGAGCTCCACACCATAAACGCGTTCATGGGCCGCTTCACCTTCTCCAACGGGAGCACCCCAGGGACCCCTGGGCTCCCAGCACCCTCCCGTTCCTGGCAGCCCGAGGACGAGGTGGTCGGGGCTGGGGGAGCAAGAGGCGCCAGGCTCCAGGCCTGAACGTGGGAAGAGCCAGGAAGCGCCATGGGGAGGGTGGGGGGTGGAGGGAAGCCCTGAGAAGCCGGCCTACACGCCCTCCCCTCTAAAGTGGAGCGTGGATGCCCAAACCGGTGTCCTTAAAACGGAAGTATCTTTCTAGTCTGGAGTCGTTCCAGACAAATCGTGTCCTTAAAAAGTAGGTGTCCCCAAGTTCAGAGGCCTTAGAATGGAGCCCCTGCTCCCAACAAATCAAGCACTTGAGAGCCGGTGCCGAATCCGCTGCCTGGTCCGGCACACCGGGCAGGTTGCACTCGGGTCCTGGATGCCGCGAGGTCCTCCAAACCCAGGTGGCCTTCCACGGAGGCGCGCTCGGTCTCTGGATCGGTCCTGGGCTCGGGCGCCACGGCCCCTCTCACCTGGCTTCAGCGTCTGCAGCTGGCGGGTGGGCCAGACCTGGGAACAGCTTTTAACCAGGCTCCTCCCCACTCCCTCCCAGCAGACCGCGCCTCCTTAAGGGCGCCAACGTCCCCCTCCCTTAGGCAAACCCAGGTGTCTTGTTCTCCCCAGCCCCCAACGCTCCCCTTGGGGCACCACGCCCCCTCCCCACCCAGGACCCAGATGTCAAGCCTTCCAGCCTGAGGAGCTCTGAACGCCTTCCCCTCCCTTCTTGAGCTTTGGCAATTTAAAGTCAATTCCTTTGCACAATAGAACAAGCACAGGGGAATCAAAAGCCCTCAGGGTCACAATTGAACCAGGAGGAAGTCAGAACACCCCACCCCTACCCCAAATCTTTTTCTGGTGCCTATTGCTCCTCAAACCCCTGAACTGCCCCTGGGCCAAGACAGAAGACAGGCCATTTTTGCTTCCTGAGTCATCCCAGCAGGTGCTTAGGTGGTGATTCAGCCCCTTTCTCCAGGTGAGAAAATTTAGGCCCTCCCAACTCCAGCCCCAAACCTTGGTTTCTCCACGGCAGGTGGTATCCGCAACCTGAGTCTGAAGGTAGGGAGCCAGGGGCCCTGGGACACCCCCACCCCCAATCCCACCACCAGGGGCCGAGTGGTCAGCAGTGTAGGTGGGTCCAGAGCAGAGAACCAGCAGAAAGGAGAGCTGGACACCAAAGTCTGCAAGGCTGCCAGTGGGAGCCTGGCTCCCCATTCTGCCCCAGGCCCAGCCCAAGCCCCAGGCCTCAAGTAATCGGATTAGGCAGCCAGCCTTGGCTCTCAGCTCTTAGCAGGAACAGCTCCAGCCCAGAGCAGCCCTACCCAGCCACCATGACTCAGGGTAGAGGAGTGGCCCAGCTCCCTCGACAGCCCGCCTGCCCCGCACCTGGGGGAGGGGACAGGCAACAAAACCCAGGCCACCAACCACTGGGTTCTGGACTAGGAAGGGCCCTGGGCCCTGGGGACACAGGAATGCCAGGAATTCCCAAAGCAGCCAGCCCAGAGAAGCAGCCAACAGGGCCTAGGCAGGGGCAGGTCAATCCTAGAGAAACTAAACAACCCAAGTGGGCACAAGGAAGGTGCAGGAACCATGGAGCCATTTGGATTTTTTTATTCTCTTTTTAAATACTGTACAGTGAAAAATAAATACGCCTTCTCATCCACCAGACAAGTTTGGTCCCCCTCCCCTGGAGGACCTTGTCACCCCCCTTTACACACACCCCTGGTTCTACTCCAAAACCTTCCCCATGCCTCCCACCCACTTAGACCCTTACTATCCCCGTCTTCCACAGTGATGAGGCCCCAGAAATGGGGGGTACAGGATGGGAGGAGGGATAGCAGGGGAGCCCCCCTGAACTGTCAAATCTGGGTGGGTCAAGGAGCACCCCGCACCAGCAGGCGGAGAACGGGGGTGTTCAGAGAGATTGGGGCATTAGAGGATAAAGGCACATCCAGTCTGATGGGGAAGGAGAGAGGCTCCCCTCACCCTGGGGGTAGGGCGGACAAGAGGAAGGGGGTATGACCCTGTTACACACCCCTCCACGAGCTCCTGGAGGCTGAGGGGGGGACCCAAGCTGCTGTGCCACCCCCCTCCCCCCTAGATAAAGAGCAGCTCCAGCGCAGGTCAGTCGGGCCTGTGAGGGCCATGGTGTTGGGCAGCAAGCGAGATGGAGAAGGGAGGGATGAGGGCTGAAGGGTTTATGAAACCCCATTCACCAAACTACCCAACTCCAGGGGGGCTGAGAGCTCCCCATTCTCTGAGGGGCCCTTAGGAAGCTTGCTGACAGAGTCACCCTGAGGGGAGAGTGAAAAAGAAAAGGAGAGGAAGGAAGCGGTAAGTGAAAATTCAGGTTAATGCCCTCCCCGCCCCCAGCCTTGGGCTCTAGGCGGCTGGCGCTCCAGCCCTGACGCTCTGGGGACTTTTAGGGAACCCAGAAAGTCCGAGCCCAACCTTTCCCGCTGCACATGCAGCCCAAACTCCATCTGACATAGCCTTGTCCGTGAATTCCCTGCACCCCTGTGCCCCCTGCCCTAGGAGGAAAACGCCGTGGGGTCCATCCCACCAGGCCTGCCTACCTTCTGTCCTGAAAGAGAGTCCTCTGAGGGTTTAGTGTGTTCCAGGGGGGGCCGCTGGCGGCTCTGAGACTCTGCTCGGGAGATATAGTCGGCCACGGTCACTGGGGAAGGCAGAGGACAGGATTTCAGGAGGAAGCAGGTGTCCAGCCCCTAGACACCCACGCAGCCCCACCGCCTGGCACAGGGCACCCCATCCCCCAGATCTGAGGAATGATGCCAGCACCCAGTGGTGGCTGACCTGGCTGACGGTCTCCACTGATGGAGCCATCGGTCCGGTTCCCACGGTTACGGCGGCGGCGGCTCCGGTTCCGACGCTGGGGTCTCGATTCATCTTCTGTGGGGCAGAGAAAACTCAAGTGGTGCATCTCACGTCCACACCTCAATTCCTGCCCAGCTCGAACCTTTCAGACCCCCGGAGCAGCCCTTACCCAGGCCATTCTCAGTCATACTGGGCCCATCGGACTCCAGGCCCCCATCCATGACGGTCCTGTCCTCATCTGTGCGGCGGCGGCGGGAGCGGCGGCGCCTGGTACTTGCTGGGGGGGGTTCCCCAGGCTCAGAATCAACTGGGGGCTCCGGTTCAGATGTGTCCAGTAGGCTGTAGGGGTTACTGTCTGGATCTTTTAGCACTGGTCAGAGGAGGAAGAGGTTGTTACAGGGGTCTGTCCCCTGTCCGTCTGGCCTGCATCCACAACCCCAGCTGACAGCAGTACCTGAGCTGATAGATGAAGCGTTGTATCTTGTGCTGGGCCGGGGGGCAGGGGGGGGTCCCCTACCCCGGCCCCCAATTGGCCGCCTCCGGCTTTCTTCCCCGCGGGTTGGGGGATCCCGGTCACCTGGCCCAGCTCGGCTGGGCTCCTCCCTCTTCTCTGACTCCGTCTCAGAAGCTGTGGATGGGTCTGAGCTGGGGCCTGCAGAGTGCAGAGGGCTTCAGTCAGGGTTACCCACCCGCCCTGGCTTCAGCCCCCCAGTCAGTCCCATCTTCCATGTGTCACCCTGTCCTAGAGGTTGCCCCCAGACCTGCACCTCTCCCCACAAGACCCGTGGCGTCTCACCATAGGCAGGACCGCCTGTCCTCCGGCCCCGGCCCCGGCCCCCGTAGCTGCCCCCATAGGTCCGCGTGGTGTGGAGGGAAGAGGAGGAGCTCTCGTCCGTGGTATACCCGGCCTTGTCACTGCCACCGCTGCCCCGCCCGCTCCCAGGAGGGCGAAAGCCCAGCCCAATCTGCCGAAGCTGCTCATCAATCTGCAGCCTCTCCAAGCGAAGCTGCTCCACCTCCTGGTTGGGCAGAAGACGGAGAAAGGTACAGAAGGAGAAATAAATGTAAGATGGATGAACATGCTCCTTCACTCAGGCTTCCTTGCCCTGGCGCCCCTACATACCGAAACGCTCAGTAACCAAGAAAGACATTGGCTGAACAGGAAAATTACGGGACCCAACCCCACAGCCCCCAATTTGCACTCAGTGGTTTTTGTTCTCCTCAGAGACAAACTGGCACCACAGCTCCTAACTTATCCACCAGCACCTTAGCCTCCCTGCTACACCCACACCCTCTGGGTCCTGGCTCCCGGCTCGGGTACCTGCAGGTACGAGAGATGGTACTCCAACAGGGCCTGGGCGTTGCTAATACTCTCCCGGGTGCCCACGAATATGAAAGGAACCATCCCCTGGAGAGCAGAGGGAGGGGGGTTGTTAGCAGGACAGTCAACACATGTACTGACTCCACCCTCTCCTATGGAAGCTCACCGTGTGGGATCATCTGGGCTCTGCATCTACTATGGGGAAACAGAAGCTCCCATCCTCTACCCCTTGGGAACTCCCATCTTCCACCCTAGAAATCCCAGCCCACAGAGAAGGGCTTCAAGAACAATCCCATCTCCTTCTGGAAACCAATTTCTAGATGTAGCTGCCCCATACCTCCTCCCTCGGGTTCTTCTTATCATTATCACCTTCTACTCGAACCCTCACCACACCAGATTTATCCACAATCTCCTGAATCACTTTCCCGTTCTTTCCAATCACTTTTCCTGAATGGATAAAGGAGGAATTAGGACATTTTTTTAAGAAATGAAGGAAAGAAAGAAGAGTAAAAACAGAGAAGATAAAATCAACTTCTACATATGGATTCTGTTCAATTTATTCTCCTTCTTCTGTTTCAGGGGAGTTTTCACGGGACAAAATACTACAATCCCTAGGAATCTGTTCTTCCATTTTTTCTTTTTTTTTTAAGATTTTATTTATTCATGAGAGAGAAAGGCAGAGGGAGAAGCAGACTCCATGCAGGGAGCCCGATGTGGGACTCAATCCCAGGTCTCCAGGATCACACCCTGGGCTGAAGGCGGTGCTAAACCGCTGAGCCACCAGGGCTGCCCTGTTCTTCCATTCTTGTCACTCCTATGACAGACTGAAGTTTCCTTGTGAAAACAGGTGCTGAGCCCAGAACAGCTTTTGGGAATCTCCCTCCTCCCACCCCGTACTCTCTCCTACACATACACACCCTCAACTTACCAACAAGGTTCCTGGGCACTTGCACAGAGTCCTCAGAAAACTCAAGGTAGCTTCGGGCCTGTCGACACGCCTCAGGAGTCTACAGGGAGAGGAGTAGGGAGTTGTTACCCAGACACTCATTTTCCTGCCACTCTCTGCCTTTGGGAAAGTGCACTGCCACCAAAGTCAAGGAGGGAGATCCACAGGATTCAGATTTCTTTTTCATCACACACTCTCCTCTCTCGACCCCCAAGGGACCTAAAGAGCAGCTGTCTTTTGCTGACCTCCCCATAGATGCGGAAAGTGCAGGTCTCTTCACCCAACTCAATGGCAGTAACCCCAGGTACTTTTCGGGCCTGCTGGATGTTGGCACCATGAGTCCCAATTGCCAGTCCCATCAGGTCCTCTCGCACCGTGAACTCCTCCTGGAAGGCCGCCGCCAACTGCTTACTTGTCTGAAATGAAAAGGCACAGTGGGGTTTGTGGCGGCGGAACCCCAGACACCTGTCCCGGGTCCCTAACACTCTGCAGGACTTAAGCAGACAAAAATATGTGAAAGCAAGCCAGAACCACCTTGGATCCACAAACCCCTGGGACCTGTATGGAGAATTCAGGAACCAGCCATTCCACTCCTACCTGGCGAACACCAATGGCTTGGGGTGGGGGTGAGGGAGATAAACGAGGGCAGGGTTTGGGCTGGGAGCCACCACAGTTCAGGATTTGGCTCTGACACTATCTGGTTATGTGACGCTAAACACAACATACCCTTGGGGCACCTAGGTGGCTTAGCGGTTGAGCCTTCAGCTCAGGGCGTGATTCTGGGGTCCTAGGATTAAGTCCCACATGGGGCTCCCTGCAGGGAGCCTGCTTCTCCCCCAGCCTGTGTCTCTGGCTCTCTCTCTCTGCGTCTCTCATGAATAAATAAGTAAAATCTTTAAAAAAAAAAAAATAAACACAATACACTCTCAGTGTCTCTGTTCTGTCATCTGCTGAACTGTTCCACCTGACTCATCCCACTCCCAGACTATCAGGAGGATTAATTAAGGCTGGTGTGAAAGGCTCTTTCACAAGATAAATGTAAGAGTAAGGAACAATTACTCTGACCAAGCTAATATCAACTCCCAAAATAAAACCCAAAAAGCTGAGTAGAAAGCAAGAGGCTGAGAAAGCATATAAAGAGCTATGGAAACCACACTACCACTTCCTCTCTCCATCAGTCCTCAGATACCTGGGCACAAGGGCAGAAAGACATGGAAGGTTCTGGAAGAGGGAGTCCTAGGTAGAAGCACCGAACAGGAAAGCTATTTGAAAGGGGTCATTCCTGATCCCAGTCCACTACATCCTATTCCAAGATGGGTGGGACTGTATTATGGCAAGGACTTACCTCAGGCAAGAAGGGGATGGACAAAAAGGGACCGTGCTGGGTATTCAAAATAACTGCATTAGGGAGGAAGGGAGAGGCTCTACAATGATTTACAAATGTCCTCTAGAAGTTTGCCAAGAGTTTTATTCTTAAACTGACAGGTACAAGTGTACCTAATATACTATGTTTTTTCTTTATGCAGACAATTATTTCAAGATGATTTAATAAACAAAACAGAAAAAAAGAAGAAAAACAAGATCTCTCAAAAACAAGACTACACGTATGGCCAACTTAACCATCTTTTTCAAAGACTATTTATTTGACAGAAAGAAAAAGTGAGGGCGGAAAGGAAGAGAAAGAACCTTGAGCAGGCTTTGTGCTGAGCACGGAGTCCCAACTCAGGGCTCGATCTCACAACCCTGAGATCGTGACCTGAGCCAAAATCAAGAGTTGGATACTCAACCGACTGAGCCACCCAGGCGCCCCATATCTGGCACTCTTTACCACACTGATCAATACAACCAGGTCCTAAGAGAGTTGAAGTCTACCTTTCGTCACCAGGGAATCTGCTCGTTGGGAACTTGAGCAGACATAATTTGTATCATCTGGGGGTAATGGTGAAGTTCTGCCAGTGCCCTGAGTAGCATCCTGGAGAAGTGACAGACCACTATGATCCACAATGTGCACAGGCTCGGAGAAAAGCCTACCAAAAAGATCAGTTCTATTGATAAACGGAATGGATGTGCACACACACACTCTATTTGTATAGGATGGTATGACACCTAAGCAAAGGGAATCTGACCATCCTAAGATATCAGAACTCAAAAAGACCTTGTAGAAATATTCTAGTCTAAGCACCTCACTGTCATACAGATAAAGCTCAGTGAAATCAAATGATTTGCCAAAGGTCAATATTTGACAGTGGTCCTTCCAGAATACAAATGGTTCTCAAATAGACCCTGCAAAGCTGTTTGATTCCCAGAGGTGATCTGGGGGAGGCCAGTGGAGGTCCGGGTCACACCCCCTTCTTCTACTTAGGCAGAGCTGCTCTGATTGATCTGTTTTAGGCATTGTGCTTTCAAGTAAAACTTCACTTGATCAAAGGGTCCCATGGTTAAGAAAAAAATGAAAACAACTGTACTATTATAACATGATGAAGCTCTGCCATCTGGAGGAGTCTGGGAAATAATAGCAGACCCAGGTTTAATGGCCCAGAAAGACCTTAGTCTTTTTGTTCTGTAAACACAAGAGCATGGGGGGAGGATGGGATGGGAAGGCAGGATAATAACAATACCATTCAGCAGTATGAAGTGAGGCCTAAACTTACTTCCAGGTGCTTGGTAGCCTCTTCATTGCGGGACATGAGCAGGAGTTTGGTGCGCAGGCTTCGAAAATGCATGTCACCCAGTAGAGACGCCCGCTTCACAGGGGCTTCTGTAGTTGACTGGGAAGAAACCAATGGACAAAATCATTGAAACTGACTTTGAATACACACCGGGGAAGACCCAGGACTGGGAACCAGGATGCCTCAGTCTCTGGAAAAGGACAGGAGTTAAGAAATGAAATGAGAGAAGAGAAAAATCACTATCAGTTTCACAAGGGCCTACTATTATCAGGGTACCTAAAAGAAGTGATTTTAGGCAGAGGGAGAGGTGAGAATCGTATAGTCTATTTTTTCAGAGCCCAAATATGCAAGGGAAGGTCCAGACTGCAAAAGGATGGCCAGGCTTAAAAAAAAAAAAAAGCAAAAAAAAACTTAAGGTCATACGTGAGGGAAGACTCAGGAAACATGGGGCTACCTGGGCCCGCAGGGGTCAGGAGCCATACAAAAAATCTTCTTTGACAAATAAACAGAAGCACATCTGAGCCCCTTCCTTTCTGCAAAGGAGTTAAAAGGGGAGGAAAAAAAAATCACTGAGAGGGTTTACGTTTTAAGTCAGGTCAACTCACCAGAATGAAGAGCTCACTATTTGTGATGTTGAGAAAGATACAGTTGGCTCCCAACGCTTTCTTGAACTCTTTATGGACATTTTCATTGGAGCAGCTGCCGAGGAAGAGAATAGTGCTCAGTGGGCAGTGTGCAGTTCAGAGGTTCAGAGAGATGGGGATGACAAAAATGAGATGAGGAAGGATGGGGGAGGACGAGGAAGACTGACAGTACAAGAGGGGCCTGGGAGGGATCCCTGGGTGGCTCAGTGGTTTGGCACCTGCCTTTGGCCCAGGGCGCAGTCCTGGAGCCCCAGGATCGAGTCCCACATCGGGGTCCCGGCATGGAGCCTGCTCCTCCCTCTGCCTGTGTCTCTGCCCCTCTCTCTCTCCCTCTCTCTCTCTCATAAATAAATAAATAAATCTTTAAAAACAAATAAACAAAAAAAAGAGGGACCTGGGAGAAAGGTGGGCCAACAGGAGGACTGTCAACGGAGCCCCCATCCCGATGTCCCTGACTCACGCCTCTCTCAGATCCTCAGGCACAGCCATAGTAACCTTGAAGAAGCTGCCTTTGGTTGCAAGGGGATTGGGATTAACTGGCCGGAGCCGTTCCAGGGTGACAATCTCATTGTAAGTGGCATCACAGGCAGCGTATTCGATGACGTAGAACTGGCAGAAAGGAAGAAACAAGTGTGGATGACCTGAGCGTCTGTCTCCCCCCTTTTCTGTGACTATGGTCCGTGCTTCCCATCACTCACATCTCCCTTCATCATCCGCACCCGGGCCAGCCACCAGCCGCAAGGTTCCTGCTCGTTGGCTCGAGAATAAACCTGGAGCCGAAAATAAAGAGATACTGAGACCTAGCTAAAAACATCACAACGAAAAAAAATAAAAAAATAAAAACATCACGAACGGAACATTCAGATCCTGGGAAGCACATTATACCACAACAAAGGAGACTCGAGGAAGGAGCTAATTAAAAGCCCAGAGGGTGCTGTCACCATAACGGGGAAAGTGACTCCCCTGAAACTGGGAAGCTCCCCGAGTTTGATCACAACAGGGAAAGGGAGCTGGTGCACTTCTCTCTTCCACAGCCTACTGGGCCGGGTTTCAGAGGAAGGAGAGTGAACCAACCAGAGGAGAGCCTGGGATACTGGTCTCAGGGCAAGGGAGACCACAGAATCCAGGAAAAAGTGACATTTAGAAGGGGTGGAGCCCTGGCTCTTACCTCTACCTCATCCCCCTCCGTGATCTCTTTATTATAGTCAGCTGGAGGTGGGAGCCGGACATCCCCAAAAGGAATCTGTCTCTCGCTCTGCCAGCTGCAAGGGAAACCGTGACATGAAAGCTATTTGGGCTCATGTTGCTATTTCTTCAGGAAGGGGTTACTGCCTCTGCTGGGCAGTTCCCACCTTCTCTGGTGATTAGAGGCTAAATTCTAAGCCCTGCTCCACTGTATCTTCTGTCTCCTGCTAGAATCCAAATACTAGGTCAACCGTTTCCCCCCAACACACACACACACATTTCAGCCCGTTCCTCTCCTGGGGTCTATATAAGTTGACCACCCACACCCCTGGCTCTCCCCCACCTATTACATGCCTCATAGGACTCAGCTGCCCCCTCTTCTCCACTCTCCTTCTAGGACCTAGTATGCTGGATTCTCTATTCCCAAGGTCTTACTTGTTTTCAAAGAAGATGGTGACAGAGTCTTCATGGACATCCTTCACAAAGCCCTAGAATGGATTTTAGAACAAAGGAAGGAAAGAAAAGAAAAGAAAAAGAAAAGAAAAGAAAAGAAAAAAGAAAGAAAGAAAGAAAGAAAAGAAAAGGAAGAAAGAAAGAAAGAGAGAGAAAAAACGACAATTTACTACCATCAAGGGAAAAGAGACGGTTACCTAGAGTTTTAGATAGAGACACAGGAAATCTAAAGATAGGACCAGAAAAACTTACCTGTACTGGGGACTGGGGCAAGAATATGAAGTTGAGGCAGGGACAAAAGAAATGACACTGACGTGGAAAGACAACTGGCAAAATCCACAAATAAGATGAGACAAATGACACAGAAGGGGAAAACATCACCTGCATAAGAACAGCCTGGAGACTGATGGGTCTACTATAATTCCCACAGGGGCCTCCCTCTCTATCTGCCTCCTGTTGTGCTGAGCAACTTGCCAGAATTCAATTAAAATACCAACAATACTCAGCAAGGCTAAGAATATCCCATGAGACAGTGTGAGGCTGTCCTGGAACACCTAGAGGACATCAGGATCTGCCGAGAGAGAAGGGTCTAGCACCCCAACGCAGCAAGAGACCTGAGCAAACTCGGTGCCTTCGTGCCTGGGTCCTAAGTGAATTCTTGGAACACTGTTGAAGTTCAAAAGGATGAACACAATTTATAGAAGGAGAAATCAGGACTTAGGATATGTGAGATTTCTGAATGCTAGACTATGACATGCTGCTACGAATCTGAAAGGGTAAGACCCCCACACCCCAAATTGAGACCTTGACTTGGGAGAGGAACAGGGATGACTGAATAGCTGGTCCACTTCCTACTGTCTCAACAAAGACAGGCAAGCTCTATGTTCAATCCTATGCTCCCAATTTTTCTACCTTCTCTAATTTTCACATATTCAAAATTAGGGATTGTTGTTTTTGAAAGTCCAATTTATCAATTTGTTCTTTTCTAACTGAGCTTTTGGTTTCCTGAGAAAATTTTGCTCAATTCAACACCCAAAGCTTTCGCCTATTCCTTCTACAAGTTTTGTAGGTTTTTTCTTTTTTTCTAAAAAAGATTTATTCATGAGAGACACAGAGAGAGAGAGAGAGAGAGAAAGAGAGAGAGAGGCAGAAACACAGGCAGAGGGAGAAGCAGGTTCCATGCAAAGAGCCCGATGCGGGACTTGAACCCGGGAATCTGGGATCACCCCCCCGAGCCAAAGGCAGACGCTCAACCGCTGAGCCACTCAGGCATCCTAAGTTTCGTAGTTTTTATTTTACATTTAGATTTATGATCTGCTGTGAGTTAAACTTTGTACATGGTGCAAGATATGCAGAGTTCATTTTTTACCCATGGACAGTCAGGTTGAGCACCATTTGTTGAAAAGACTACCCTTTCTCTACTGAATTGCCTTTTTGCTTTTGTCAAAAATCAGGGAAGTGCAAATTAACATATTACCAACAGACAGAAAGCAGATTGGTGGTTGAAAGACCTGGGAGTGATGGAAATATCTTGATTGTGGTAATGGTTTGACACGTATCTATATAGATATGTAGACAGGTATCTAAGTCAAAACCTATCAGTTTATACTTCGAACATACGTACTTCAATATTTATTCCTCAATAAAGCTGTTAACAAAGAACTAGGGGTTGGCGCGCCTGGGTGGCTCAATGGGTTGAGTGTCTGTCCCTTGATTTTGGCTCAGGTCATGGTCTTGGGGTGGTAGGCTTGAGCCGGGCTTTAGGCACCACACTTAACGGGGAGTCTGCAGTAAATCTGTTTGAAATTCTCTCTGCCCCTCCCTGCCTCAAATAAATAAATCTTTTAAAAAAAATTTAGGGATTTCAAAAGTCTAACACACAAGAACCATTCCTGAACTCTGCAGCTATGCGTAACAGCTGAGCTTAGGAGAGAAAACACCGAAAATGCACACCTCTATCATTACCACCTCAATGAATTGGTCGAATGTAAACATTTACTATACTGCTGTTTCCTTACGGTGGGAAAACCAAAACTCAGATTTCATTCTTTGATACCAGCTGGCCATCCTTCTCTTCTTTCGGGATCAGATCTTGTTGCGGTGCCTCACTATGCAGAGCTTTACTACTGCCCAAGGCATCTGGTCTTCCTGGTGCCTGCCCTCCTGCTCAGCTGTGCTTTCGTTTTCTCTGCCACTCCCCATGTTTTCTCCACTCTTCATACAGCTCCACCTATACCCAAGCCTGCTATTCCACACACCAGTCTTCTGAGGCATTTTCACTCCTCACTGTTTGCCTGAGTCCTTCTTCCCCCTTGGGTTCTCAGCTCCTTGAGCATCCTCCACCCTCCCCTCCTAACAGCATCACTTTCCTTTTCTTTTCTCCCTCTGTGAGGGTCTGTGTGGATTTCTAGAAACATTTCACCCAGCTCCTTCTGTCTTTATCCAATTCTTTTTTTTTCTTTATCCAATTCTTTATCCAAAATGTCTGTCTCTAAACTTGAAAAATAGTTTAAGAGAGGGTTAGCTCTTCTCAAAACATTTTAGGAATGAGATAAAAAGCATGGAGGAGATAGAAGAGAATCACTTGTCTGCCTCCTTTAAGAATAGATTCCCGCTCCTAGATATACTTCTTCGCAAAGGATATTCCCATGGCTCTAATCCCATTCTCCCCCAACATGTTAGGGTTGGCCCTCAGGGAGAGGTAGCACTACCACCCTGTTTTTCCTAGCTACCACTATCTGTCCCCAAGGCAAAAATAGCTCAGAATGGAGTTTCCCCTCACATTACTCAGCAGTTCAACCAAACACCACACAATCTTAGACTTCTAGGGTCTTTTTCCTTCAAATACTCACCAGAACAAGCTTTCTTCCCAAACTCATGTTAACTTCACCCACATCATCCATTTTTTCCCTCCAAAGATACCAGTAGTAGAAAGTGAGAACCTAGTTCTGCTCATTCCATGCTCATTAAGGAGATAAGCAGGTGAGGGCAGGAGCAGGTGAATCAATCTCTAGAAAGCCAACTAGATCCAAAGAATGACTCAAATCAATGGCTGCAGCATATCCCGGCTTTGGCTTAAAGGGCTTAGGACCAGAAAGAGGAAGAGTACCCAAGCGTTCTAGATACTTATTTCCTTAAATAAGATAGGAAATTATTCCCCACCTCTACCCTATCTTCTAGTCCTGGACTCTCAAAAGAAAGGAGGGGGTTCTGGGAGAAAAACAGGAGGGGTCTGGATAAAAACCACAGCTTGAAGCTGGGAATGCTGTATTCCTTAAGACAGGAAGAGGAATGTGGACATCCAGGCAAGGTCTGGAACGTTGGCTGATTGTGCCCTGAAAGGTGAACAGATATTTCATGAGGAGAGTACAACCTAGAGACTAAAACACTTTTAGGTACCGGAGAAAACGAAGAGTTGGTGGGATAGCTACAGGATAACTTATATTCCAGATCTGACATGTGCAGCACTATCGTGGAAGATGATCAAAAACAGGACCCAATTCTGAGACAGGAGAAAGGGGCCTCCCCAAATTTATAGTTCTAGAAGCAATGTAAACATTCCTTGACCCACACCAAAGTTTGCTGAGTCATGAATATTAAATTAGCAGCAAGGTCAGAATGGATAAGTATCTATATGGCACTGAAAGTTGAAGAAAGATTAGTCTGAATTTAGGAATTTATTGTTGTTTTTAACTGACCCATGAGGCAGAAAATGCTAACATGGCCAGAACACAAAATCCACATCACCTGGCTTTCAGCTCAACTCCAAACTGATTCAAAGCATCCTGTCCCTAATTCACCCAAGTCTATCATTGTCATAGCCCACGGGGGAAAGGGAAAGATTGAGAGATTTTCTGTTAGACACTTGTATGTGTAAAGAGAAATGTGTCCCCAGTCTCACACAGTTCATCTGAACTGGATGCCAATCTTTCCCAGCAATGCTTGGTGCCTATGCTTCCTAGAAAAAAGCAAGTATCATTATCTCAATTTTAGAGTCATTTTTCTTCAAAACCAGAATTCGGGGTGGGAGAGACCCAAATGAAGGACAAGATACTGGGGAAAATGGGGCTAAAATCTTACAAGGAAGGGTATTTCAACAAAGGTACGCAAATTTGAAGAAAAGGGATACAAGAGACAAGCATACTCTATCAGAATCAGAAAGGAATTAGAGACTTCTGCCAAAGAAAACAGAAACACTATGGAGGCAGGCTAGAAGAAAAAGTCTTGAGTTTTTTTGAGAAAAGTATGCAGAAAAAAACGACAGAAGGGGTCAGTTGGGAACTTCCTTCAGACATGGAATAGGTGGTTCCCGGGGGATACACAAGTTTTAGGATAAAAAACCAAAGACTAAGGCTGACAGGATAATCTAAAATAAAGAGATAAGTGTTGCCACAGGCTCTGAATAGAATGAAATTTGGTGAGGGAAGCCAGGCAGAAATCGATAAGCATTTAGGGTGGGTAAAAAAATCACTACACTTAACTTATCAACTGAAGCCAGGGCAGAAACCTTCCACTCTAAGGGCAAAGACAAGACCCTTACAGTTACAGGACTTCAGTTCCAGTTTCTAGGATAGAGTTGGAGAAAGTCATTTCCAAGGGCACGAAGATGCAGAGGTCTTTTACAGGAGGAAAGGCCTGAAAGAAAAAGAGAGGGGACTCTCCTCCTCCCATGTGATAAGAAGATATCCCTGCTCTTGCTCCTCAGGGTAAAATGAAAGAAGACAGGAATGAGAAAAGTCTCTGGGACAATTCCAGGCATAAAATCTAAAGAGGCTCAAAAATAACAGTTACACAAAGAAAAATTCCTGAGAGGCAAGAAGGGGTCTCCCTCTGGCTTAATCCAAAGGGGAAAACAATATCCTAGAAAATGGTTTCAGAATAAAAATGGTGGTAGCAAAAGGAGTTCTAAGGAACCACATCCTGGGCAAGGCAAAAGTGGATGTAAACAAGGACCCTTTAAAGATAAACCCCCTTCTTAAAAAAAAAAAAAAAAAAAGCTATCAGATTCCCAAATTGAGAGAGTTGACCAGAAGTCTTCTCCAAGTGGCAATCCCTCAGAAGATCTTTTCATGTGATTAGGAAGGTGAAGCTCACCCTGCTCCAGAGGAAGAACCTATAGGAATGATCTAAAGATAGCTGAAGTCAAAGTGAGATACAAAAAAGAAATGCACCCTCCTGGAATGGCAGACCAGCCAGCCTTGGGATAAAGGGCTGGGGTGAGAGACTTAGGGGAAAGATGCCACCTTATGGCTAGGAGGCAACTTGACTGGTACAACAACCCAGAGTTGCTGAGGTCAACGACAGCAAATGTCATCAATGGATTTTGACCGTTTCTCCTTGGGTTGGGAGCAGAAATACAGCAGGAAAGTGGGGTGAGTCCTGCAGAGCCAGGAGGCAGAGGCCTCTCGGAGGAAGATAAAAGGATCTAATATGGGACGGCCTTCCCAAGAGGGTAATAGGGAAGAATAAAGAGAATTCTCAATGTGCTTGGACCGTGCGGGGTGGGGGGATGTGATGAAGGTTTAAGGTATGTCTTCTACACTAGGGAAACAAGAAAAGTCAACGACAAGCTGGGGAAATGGGGTCTCCTGGTGGTGGTGGGGGTGGGGGGAACGACCGGGTGCCGATCCGAGCACAATAATGCCCCGATGTTCATTCTCTCCCAGACGGAGTGGGGGTTGGGGAGTGGGGGTGGCTAAGAGCAAGTGTAATTAATAGAGGGAGCGAAAATCGGAGGAAAGGGGGCTCCCTTGCAGAGGTCCCCCCAGGAGGGCTGCGGACGGGAACGTGGGTCCGGGGCTCGCGGGGTCAGGACTTGGCTCCCGAAACGCGATCCCGCCCCATCGGCCCCCGCCCCGGCGAGGGGAGGGGGCCGCACACGGTGTCCCCGGCCGGCGCGCCGCCTCACCTTGTAGAAGGCCCCGTTGGAGCCGCGCACCTCGACGGGCAGTCCCGGCTCCACGTCCCCCCCGGAGGCCAGGCCGCCCATGGCGCCGCCGCCGCCGCCTCCGACTGCCCCAGCGGCGGCTGCAGCGGCGGTCTGAGTCCGGGCCGGGCCAGGCCCCCGGCGTCTCCCCGGGGGAGGAGCCGGAGGGGGAGCCGCCGGGGGCGGGAGCCGGGCCGGCCCCACGGCGGCCCTGCCACAGCCAACGAGCAGGGGGCCGGGGCCGGGCCGCTCCCCGTCCGCCGCCGCCGCCTTGGTCTCCGCCACCGTGAGGGAAACGGCCGCCGCCGCCGCCGCCGCCGCCGCTGCCTTCGTCACCTCAGCTTCCGCCTGCCGCCGCCCCCGCTGCTGCCTCAGTCCCGGGACCCGCTGCTGCCGCTGCCGCTCCACGGCCTCCACCTCCCCCTGCTGCCGCCGCCTACTGCGCAGGCGCGCCGGGCACCCGCCCGCCGCGCGCGGGGCCCCGAGGGCCACGGCGCAGGCGTCAAGGCTGGCGACCCAGCTCGCGCTCGCCAGCGCCTCAGGGCTTCCACACTCCCCTTTGCTCTTTCGCGCCCCCTGCTGGTCCCTCGCTTGCGCTTGCGCAGAACCAGACGGCTTCCTTTCTTCACCATCCGCACCCCCCCCCCGCCCACATCTCTTCCTTTCCCCGCCCCACAACACTGAGCGTGAACCAATCGTGCGGAGGGAGGGGCCGAGCCCACTCGCTCGGATTGGGTTTCTGCGGCTCCGGGTCAGGCCACACCCACTCCCCCGCCGGGAGCACCCCCGGGCTGGGGCGAGCTGGGGACGGGCATGCGCCTGGATGACTGCTTGGTCACTTTCCCCACCTTTGTCTTTCTTGGTGCGCACGCTCCAAAGGAAAAAAAAAAAAAAAAAAAAAAAAAAAAAGCAGCCTGGTGCTCTTGCGCCGGGCTTAATCGTCCGCACGCACGTATAGACTCTTAGGAGCATCTGTAACTCTAGCTGGAGACTTAGGGACCGCGTTCTTGCCTCGAGAAGATGCCGATCGTGCATACAATGAAACGTTAAAGGATGATTTCAAGGCGGTACCAAAAAAGCAAAGACGACTTAGATTAGCTACTGGATTTGGTATCCAAATACTGAGGATATTCACAATAGGGAAAAAAATGGAGTGGAGTAAGAAGGGGTCATAGAGGGAAAAGTTTAGATTCCTGAACTAAGGAAATTTAGCTGTAGGGCCACCTGGGTTGCTCAGTGGTTGAGCGTCTGCCTTCGGCTCAGGGCGTGATCCAGTGGTCCCAGGATCGAGTCCGCATCGGGCTCCCTGCAGGGAGCCTGCTTCCCCCTCTGCCTGTTTCTCTGCCTCTCTCTGTGTGTCTCTTATGAATAAATAAAATCTTAAAAAAAAAAAAGAAATTTAGTTGTAGAAATGGATATAAAGTAGCACAGAAATTAGAATCATGTGTTGTGCATTTAATCATTCAGCGAAGTATTTGTTTCGCCCTCACGGTGTTCCAGTAGCTGTGCTAAGAACTAGGGGTACAAAGACAAGATATAGTCCCCAAAAGAACGTTTGTAATATACCGGGAAGGGAAGGATAAACAAGTTTAAACCAATCCGTAAGTGCATAAGGATTGACCAAGGACGTGATAGAGACCAGCACTAGGTTTAGAGGGAATTCCAAGGGTCTTCAGAGTGACCAGAAGAAGACAGAAGAAGTAACCTGAATGGAGATATGAGGCCTGAGTGTTTGTTTGCTAGAGGGAAAGCACAGTAAGAGTAGTCTGGAGCTATCAGAATATGGCTGGTGATGCAGAGGAGCAGAAAGAGCCTGTCCTTTAGGGAACCACAACTAGTTCAAATAGTTAGGTCTGAAGCAGGGAGCTGCAGGAAGATGGTCTGTGAGGCACTTGTAAATCAGATTAAAGAGAAAGGCTTTTTGCTTTATGAATACTGAAGAACCACAGAAAGATTTTAAGCAGTTGTGTAATGTGGCAAGAATTGCATGCTTCAACTGTGGAGAATGGATTGAAGAGTAAGGGTGGTCCCAAGGTTCCAAGGTGTGAGACTGGTGAGTAACTATTGCAGGTAAGTAAGAAAGATGCTGAGGACAACATGGATTGTCCTTGGATTCGGGCTGTGGACAACAGAGGTACCAGTTGATTGGTGCCTGTTAAATTTACAATAGAATCAATAAAAATTAGTGAAGAGGGTGGTGAGAGGTGGGCTCAGGAGCCAGTAAAGAAGTGGGAGGATTCCCAGACAACTCTCAGATTTGTACTTAGCATCTCCGAGTGAATGATGCTGCCAATCATGGAAGAAAGAATTCAGGAGACAAAATTTTGGATGACACGTTGATGACTTTGAGTTTGGTTTTGCTCTTTAAGGGTCCACCATACAGGTAGACATCCCTTGTCTTCAATAAACTTCTCCTTCGACTTAAATATAGGTTTTTGTTTTGTTTTGTTTTTTTAGATTTTACTTATTTATTCATGAGAGACACAGAGAAAGGGGCAGAGGGAGAAGCAGGCTCCCTGTGGGGAGCCCAATGCAGGACTCGATCCCAGGACCCCAGGATCATGCCCTGAGCCAAAGGCAGACACTCAACCACTGACCACCCAGATGCCCCTAAATATAATTTCTTTAGCCTTCCACTATGCCTTTACCAGGTCAGGCCTTCCACCTCACACCACCAAAGCATCCTATACTTCTTTGTGGGACTCATCATGGTACTATTAATAATTTGTTCAACGTCTGTCTTCTGCCATCTGTGAGGTCAGAGACTGGGTTCCATGCCTGTTTGTGCCCCCCACTGTATACCCAGTATCTAGCACAGTTCCCTGAACGGCAAATATCAACTGAAATGAAAGGATCAATGTTCTGCAGGTCCAGGGACACACAGGTACGTGGTCCAGGATAGGTCTTGGCTAGAGAGGCAGACGTAGGAATCATCAGTATATTAGTCATAGCTAAAGATACAAGACAAAAATAAATCTCTAAAGAGAAGTGTCAACTGAGAAATGAGTTGGTCCATGATGAAACTCTCAACTACAGCAGTATTTAAAGGGCTGGCAAAAGAAGAGGCGCCTTCAGAGGCACTTGGATGGCTCAGTTGGATAAGCCTCCAACTCTTGATTTCTGCAGGTGTCGTGGTCTCAGTGGTCAACTCTGGGATTGAGCCCCACATAGGGCTTTGTGCTCAGCTGGGAGCCTCCTTCTCCTTCTCCCTCTGCCCTTCCCCCTTGTATTCCTCCCCCCCTTTTTAAAAGATTTTATCTATTTATTCATGAGAGACACAGAGAAAGAGAGAGAGAGAGGCAGAGACACAGGCAGAGGGAGAAGCAGGCCCCATACAGGGAGCCCAATGTGGGATTCCATCCCGGGATTCCAGGATCATCCCCTGGGCCAAAGGCAGGCACTAAACTGCTGAGCCATGCAGGCGTCCCTGCCCTTCCCCCTTCTCATACTCTCTCTCAAATAAATAAATAAAATCTCTTTTAAAATTAAAAAAAGAAAAAATAAATAAAATTTAAAAAAGAGGGCAGTCCTGTTGGCGCAATGGTTTAGCGCCGCTTGCAGCCCAGGGCGTGATCTTGGAGACCCTGGATCGAGTCCCACGTCGGGCTCTCTGCGTGGAGCCTGCTTCACCCTCTGCCTGTGTCTCTGCCTCTCTCTCTCTCTGTCTCTATGAATAAATAAATATTTTTAAAAAATTAAAATAGAGAGAGAGAAGAGGTGCCTTCAAGAGTATCCGAGCATTGGTAAGTAGGGTGGCAGAGACAGTAGAGAGACAGTAAAGAACAGCAGCGATTCTGACAAGGAGAGAGAGAGAGAGTTTAAATGGAGCAGATGATCATGACAGTGGCTGTCAGACCGAACATTTAGGGTTTGGGCTCTTTTTTTTTTTTTTTTAAAGATTTTATTTATTTATTCATGAGAGACAGAGAGAGAGAGAGAGAGAGAGAGAGAGAGAGAGAGGCAGAGACACAGGCAGAGGGAGAAACAGGCTCCATGCAGGGAGCCTGATGTGCGACTCAATCCTGGGTCTCTAGGATCAGGCCCTGAGCCAAAGGCGGTGCTAAACCAGAGCCATCTGGGCTGCCCTGGGTTTGGGCTCTTAAGCAATAGCAGTGACTGAAGTTTGTTTTAGAAATGGTACCATCGCAAACTTCCAAGCCTCTGACACCAACCATCCTCTCGGGTTTAACTTTTCTTTATCTGCTGTAGTCATTGTTTATTCAGACAAAAGATCGGAGTAGGAAGAGAGGGAACAGCATTTCAGATGGGGAATGGCATGTGCAGAAGGCCCAAAGGGGAGAGTACAGTGAGGTACTGGAAAGAGTCTAACATGGTTAGAACCAACTGGACAGGAAACACAAGGCTGGAAGCGTTGGGCCAGAGCTTGGAGGAAGTGGAACAAATTTAGAAGTTTGGACTTTCTGCTGAGAGCAGTGGGAGCCATTACAGGATTTTCAGCCAACGTGCCTTTTAGCAAGATTACTCTGGCCAGACTATGAAGGATGTGTCAACAGAAAAAGCCCAGCTTGTCTTTGGACTTCTAAATACACCGAGATTAAGAGAAGCTAGAAAGATGAATAGGTTGATAGAAGAATGTTGGATAGATACTGAAAATGGGGACAACATGAAAATTTACATACTGAATGTTGACACTTGCCCCTGACCTCTTCTTCACCCCACTCTAAGAATACATATGGCCAATCTTTTACCCTCCAAGTAGGAGTGGGGAAGAATTTTCTGAGAAATCTGATCAGATGAGAAAAAAAGACCTAAAGATACTGGCATTAGGGATTCCTCAAGGAAATGGCCTAGTGGATTGCCCCTTAGTAAAGTCCACATTTAACAGGCCTAGGGAGGGACCTGCCACATAAACACACACTCACACAGTTTTCAATTGTACCTTAGTGTGCCAATCTTAAATATGAGCACACAACTGAGGACTACCTGGTGTTTGAGGAAAGCCTCTAAAATGAAAGAGCTGCACCCCCTACCTGCAAAAAAACAAAAATAAAAAAATTGAGAAGGAAAAAAATAGTTTAGAAGAAATAAAGACTATGCAAGGAGAAAAAAAAATTTAAACTATCAGGGGTGGGGTGCCTGGGTGGCTTAGTTGGTTAAGCATCCAACTCTTGATTTTGGCTGAGGTCCTGAGATTGAGCCCTGTGTCAGGCTGCACACTCAAGAGAGGGTCAGCTTGTGATTCTCTCTCCCTCTGCCCTTCCCCCCACTCCTGTGCATGAGTGCTCTCTCTCTCTCACAAATAAATAAATAAATAAATAATCAAAATCTTTAAAAATATATTTAGGGATGCCTGAGTGGCTCAGTGGTTGAGCCACCCAAGTGCACCTCCCTTTTTTTTTTTAAGATTTTATTTATTTTTTAAAGTAATCTCTATGCCCACTGTGGGGCTGAAACAACCCCAAGATCAGGAGTTGTATGCTGAGCCACTTGGGTGGCTCAGTGGTTGAGCATCTGCCTTTGACTCAGGGCGTGATCCCGTGGTCCCAGGACTGAGTCCGCATCAGGCTCCCCGCAGGGAGCCTGTTTCTCCCTCTGCCTATGTCTCTGCCTCTCTCTCTGTGTCTCTCATGAATAAAGAAATAAAACCTTAAGAAAAAAAGTTGTATGCTCCACCTACTGAGCCAGCCCTTTGCCCCTCTATGCTCCCTTTATTTATTTATTTTTTTAATATTTTATTTGAGAGAGAGAGAAAAAAAGAGAGAGCCCAAGCATGCGCAAATGGGGGAGGGGCAGAGGGGGAGAGAGAGAATCTCAAGCTGATTCCTTGCTGGGTGTGGAGCCTGATCATGACGTAGACAGGATCTCAGGACCTGAGATCATGACCTTAGCGGAAACCAAGAGTCTTACGCTTAAACGACTGAGCCCCCCAGGCACCCCTTTATGTTCTGTTTAAAAAGCCCTCCCCCTCAGTGCCCTCCAGTTTGTTCACTGCTGCTGTGGCCAGAACCCAGGCCCTTACACCTCATACCACTGATCAGGCTCCACATCTAACAGAATCAACTCCTGGGAGGCTAATGAGGTGATGAGTGGGCAGGAGCCCAAGGCCAGCCTGTGGCTGTAGAACAGAGTGGTGCTAGATTGCAGACATCCTGTGAAAACCGGCCAAGTCTGGGGCCAAGGCAAGAGAATAATGTGAAAATCATAAACTCTGAAATGCAAAGGCAAAATGAGATGGGGCAAGATAAATTTTGGCAGTATTGTTTCCTAGTTCATGCCCTTTTCTTCTGGATTAAGTATTAAAGTTTATGCTTTTTTTTTTTTGAAGTGATACATGAGAATGGCACAAAATTCAGGAAATTCAAAGTGGCAAGTGGAAAAAGCTATCCCCTGGCCACTCAGGTCCTCTCCTCAGAGGCGACTGCATTCTCTGTGCTTGTTTGTGCATCTTTCCAGAAATAATGCATTCTAATGATATTTAAGGTTTAAAAAAAGCCCCATCACTAGATAAGTTGGTCATCCTTGAAAGATATAAATCCTGGGGTGAAAGATTCAGATGCAATGAAACGCCGGGACACCTGCACCCCGATGTTTCTAGCAGCAATGTCCACAATAGCCAAACTGTGGAAGGAGCCTCGGTGTCCATCGAAAGATGAATGGATAAAGAAGATGTGGTCTATGTATACAATGGAATATTCCTCAGCCATTAGAAACGACAAATACCCACCATTTGCTTCAACGTGGATGGAACTGGAGGGTATAATGCTGAGTGAAGTAAGTCAATCGGAGAAGGACAAACAGTGTATGTTCTCATTCATTTGGGGAATATGAATAATAGTGAAAGGGAATATAAGGGAAGGGAGAAGAAATGTGTGGGAAATATCAGAAAGGGAGACAGAACATAAAGACTCCTAACTCTGGGAAATGAACTAGGGGTGGTGGAAGGGGAGGAGGGCAGGGGGTGGGGGTGAATGGGTGACGGGCACTGAAGGAGACACTTGATGGGATGAGCACTGGGTGTTATTCTGTATGTTGGTAAATCGAACACCAATAAAAATTAATTTATTATAAATAAATAAATAAATAAATAAATAAATAAATAAATAAATAAATCCTGGGGTGCCTGGGAGGCTCAACTGGTAAAACCTCCGACTCTTGATTTTGGCTCAGGTCATGATCTCAGGGTCCTGGGATTGAGCCTGGAGTCAGGGTCCCTGCTCAGCAGAGTCTGCTTGAGGATTCTCTTCCTCCCTCTCCCTCTCTGTCCCTCCCCCAGCTCATGTGCACTTGTGCTCTCTGTCTCAAATAAATAAGTAAATCCTTAAATATATATATATATATTTTATATTAGATTTAATTATATATAATTTATATGCATTGCATTTATTTGTATATTATTTATACATTAATTATATATGCGTCTGTATATATATATATATATATATATATATATATATATATATATATATAAATCCCTGTCAGATTGAGATAAGCCAAGGATAAGAGTACTGGATTTTTCTGGCTCCCATTTATAGGAGGGGTTGACCACCTTCATTATCTCTTAAGATTGTCCTAAAGGTCCATTTGCTCTAAATTGGTTTTAAGGGCCCCAAATTGGCACCATTCAGGAAGAATCAAGGCCCTGATGTGTTCTGTTTGGCTACATCCTTTTTTTAAATTTGAATTTTATGATGAATCTTCAGTTCTCTACATTTCCATAGAAGTCTAGAGATCCTGTTTCTTACAATTTACCCATTTATGTTACCTACCTGCCCCCTTTCACTGTCTAAATTATGACCACTTAACCAATGGTTCATTAACAAAAGGAATATAATATGCCACCATCAAAAGTGATGACAGATGTGGACATCTGGTTGGCTTTGTGGTTGAGAGTCTGCCTTTGGCTCAGGTCAGGATCCCAGGGTCCTGGTTGAGTCCCACCTCGGGCTCCCCACAGGGAGCCTGCTTCTCCCTCTGCCTGTGTCTCTGCCTCTCTCTCTGGTCTCTCATGAATAAATAAATAAAAATCTTTTTAAAAAGTGATGACAGGTGTATGTTTATTAGATGGAAAATAGATGTTTCTGATATATTAGGAAGTATATGATTCCTGGGTGCCTGGGCCGCTCAGTCAGTAGAGCATGTGACTTCTGATCTCAGGGTCGTGAATTTGAACCCCACATTTTGTGTAGAGCTCACTAAAAAAAAAAGAAAAAAATTATATGATCCCATCTCTATTCACTTAACTCATTATGTGTATATATGGACACTGAAAAATATAAAGAATTGATCGATACCAAAGGGTTAATAATAGTTATGCAAGTAAGGCTATGGGTTCTATTTTTATTTCATATGGTCATTCCAATTTTCGTGCAGCCAATCCACATTACCAGTGTAATAAAATGCTGTGAAAGTAGGACATGAGCTTGTTTCCTTCCTTGTCTCCATGGGTGCTAAAGGTTTGTTTTGGTTTTGCTGAACTGGAAAATAAGGACTTTGTGACTTTTGAAAAAGAAAAAGCATTAGCAAGCTGATTTTTTTTCCCCCAAAGTTGAGTTAAATGGCCCTTCCCAGCACCCCCGAAACACCACCAGCAGGTGGCAGCCCGCTCCATCTGTTGAGTCAGCCGCCAGCCTCAACTACATGGCCTACACCTGAAGTCCACACACCCCAGACACCCTTTGTCTGGGTCCCAAATGGGACCAATGGGCCTGATGTGCCTAGCTGGCAGCTTGTTCTTCTTTTCTCTATATTCCACAGGCCAGAGCCAAAAGTCTGGGCCGCTGAGAGTGAAAGTCACCTCGGGCTCACCTTTACCCCCAGCAGTGGCATCCAGCCATCAGGAGACCAGACCAAGGTGCTCGGGAAGGACCCCAGAACGGCTGAAGCTTATGGAATCACCCAGGGCTCTGCCAGCACCATGCTTATAGTAATTCTCATTTATTTTTCACCCTCAACAAGGAGGTGGAAAGGCCTCTCCCCCGATTCTGCACACCCAACCTCCCGTTCCTCAGGGAGATCTCTGCCAGAGGACACAAGTCTCTGAGTGCTTGAGCTGGTGGGGAAGGAGGAGATCAACGAAGAGTGATTACCCCCAAGGCATGGTGTCACTTTCCTGCCAGCTCCCTCATCACCTCTCCTTCGAAGCGAAAGGAGTGCCAGCCCTCAGTTTCCGTCAGATCCTGGGCTCCTAGGGCCTTGTACAAATCCATGGCTGATTTGTTCCAGTCCAGCACGGCGAGGCGGAACTGGGAGCAGCCCTTGTTCAGGGCCACCTGTGGGAGAAGACATCACTTACTTTTCCTTTCAAAAAGGAAAAGGTGGGACACCTCGGTGGCTCAGAGGTTGCACGTCTGTCTTTGGCTCAGGTCCTGGGATCCAGTCCCACATTGGGCTTCCTGCATGGAGCCTGCTTCTCCCTCTGCTTACATGTCTGCCTCTCTCTCTCTCTCTCTCTCTGTATCTCTCATGAATAAATAAATCAAAATCTTTACTAAAGAAAAGAAAAAGAAAAAGAAAGCCTTTTCCTTTTTTTTTTTTTTTTTAGGAAAAGGCTTTCTGACCGTCCACCTGACCCCTGTGCCTCCCACACCCGCCTGCTTTTCAAGGGCCTCACCTGAGCCACCTTTTTGATTATTTGGGAGCCAATCCCTTGACCTGTTGTGGGAGAAAAAGCGGAAAAAAAGGGAAAGGGGGTTGTTTCAGTTGAAGGGAATCAGAAGAGGCCTGAGATCAGGGAGCAGAGATGGGGTTGGCCCCAGCCTCCGCCTCCTACCCCGATATTCGGGCATCACGTAGATGTCTTCCAGATAAACGTTGCGCCCCTTCCACGTGCTATAGATGAAGTAGTACAGCCCATAGCCCACCACACAGGGCCCTGAGAGGAACAGAGAAGAGGGCTCAGGGACTGGGCACCTGGCAGGACAGGACAGGGGACCTCGGAGGTCCGGCTCTTCTTACCCTGCGGCTCCCCGAGGGCGGGGAGAAGCTCCGCCACCAAACAGTGATAGAAAGGTTTCTCTCCGAAGCCATCTGCTCTCAGGGCTGCAGGGAGGGAGGGGCGGCAAAGAGACCGAGAGAGAACCTGGCCTGGAGAACCCATCCCTCCCCCCATCCGTCCTCTCTCCCCAGCCCGGGCCTGCACGCGGGTGTCGGGGTCCCTACCTTCCTCGCTGATCTTCACCTGGTCCGAGAGTTTCTCGTACTCGGCCAGTTCCTGCGGCGGTGACAAGACGGACGCCGGATCAGGGCTGGGGGGCCCCTCCCGCGGCTACCCCGCCTCTCCACCACGCACCCCTGCCCCGGGGTCGTTCCCCCCCCACCCCGTTCCTGGGCCGCAGCCGTCACCCGAATCAGTCTCAGTATGTGTCCGCAGTCTCCCTCCTTGGCCTCTCGGATCCGCACGGAAGCCATCTGGACCCCCGCCATCGTCTGGGGCTGAAGTCCGCGACTCTCCCTAGAGTCCTGCAGGCAGGGGGAGCACGGGACCCCGGACCGCCCGGGAGTGAGGGTGGGGGGGCGCCGCCAGCTGGGGCCGGGGGAGCGATGGGCGCGAGGGGCGGGGGGGTCCTCTCGACGCCGCACCTCTGCACCCGCCGGAGGCCTGCAGAGTGCTCCGCCCAGGGGTGGGGTGGGGGGAGGGGCCCTCTCCGCGCCGCACCCCTACCTCGGCGGGACGCGCCCCACCAGCCAATCAGCTGGCACAGCAGGCCCGCCCGGAGGCCCTGGCCCTGCCCCCCACCGCCGGCCCCCGTGACTGGGCCCCAGGGCAGGGGTCAAGGCTGGACTGGCCGCTAGCTTGCTGTTGTCGCCTGGGTGTCCCAGCCTCCGTGGGTGAAACCCCGCAGTTCAAAAGTCACCTCCCCCGGACTTCCCTAAGTGAAATGTGCAGTGATTCCCGGCTGTACCCTTCACTCTCACTCCCTCACTGGAGGCCAAGTCCCCCCAGCTCCGAGACGTGTTTTGTAGAGGAGATCTTGAGTGACTCCAGGTGTTTTCTCTTCGGTGCACTGGGATTTCAAAACGGGTCAGTGAGAGGGTGATGAATTTCTATTGGTAGATGCTGAAACTTCCAAGTAAATAGGGAAGAGGAGATAATTAGGAGTGGGGGCCGGGCCTCCTCTTAGTAGTCACTAAATCATTCTCAGGGCCAGAGCCTTCCTCTAAGGCTAGCCTCACAGCCCTAGGAAAATCCTGAGGGAGGAGCTCAGAGCAGACAACAAGCACTGCATTATCTCAATGAATCCTGGTTACAGTAATCCCATAAAGTAGGTCCTATTTTCACATTTGATGTATAAGGACAATAAAGCACCATTGGAGAGTGATGTCCCCAGACTCACCCAGCTAGATTTTGGGTATTCCACGTGTCAGCTGTAGTTGGCACAGAGCATGCTTCTTGGGGTGCAGAGCAGGACTCTTTCTAGACATCAGGCCCGTAGAGGCATCTCCTCAGCTGGGCAGAAGGTTCCAGGTCCCAGGCCAGGCTCTAAGGAGGAGTGGGGAAGTATCCTATCCTAGCTCATAAACCTTCCCAGCAGGGGGAGTGTAGTGGAGGAATACTGTCCCTCCCCCAAGTTGTCCTGAGAGGGGTCAGAGGGGCCAGAGGGTCAGTGCCCCGTCTCTTGCCCCCCTTCTTCCCCCCAGGGCAACCTTTAACCCAACACCAACTACAGAAAGGCTTCCTGCCCCCACACATTATCCCCAGAGTTCTCTGAGCCACAGAAAGGACTGCTGACCATGGACTGCAGAGGCCCGCTGGCCACATTGCCTGGGTGGCTGTTGCTACTGCTGCTGCTGCTTCCACCTCCCGGCCACCAGGGACTGGCCCTGAGACAGGGTCTCTCCACTCAGGTGCAGGACTGTTGGGATGGGTGCTTAGCCCATGTGTGTGTTTAAATGAGCTACACTCTGGCTCTGCTCCTGCCTTCCCTTCCTCGCCTCCCCTCCCCCATGCTGTGGCAGTGTCCTCATGTCCTCCTGTCCTCGGTCTACCTTGTTTGTTTTCTTTCTCTGATAGAGGATACAGGACCTCCCTTCTGTGCACCTCAGCAACGGCTCAGGAGGAGAGCCTGTCACTGTCATGACCTTCAACTTTACCAAGATCAAGAAGTATGAGGTTGACCTAGCCCCCTTGACTGAGTCCCCTGACCCTACCTTCTCTCCTGTGGATCTTCTCTTTTTCCTGTCTCCATTCCTGACCTTTAGTCTCCCCCACCCCACTTTTACCCCCAGAGGACATGCCTCATACACAGTCTGTCCTTCTCTGTCCTCCTAGAAGCTCTTCCTCCTTTGAGCTTCGAACCTGGGATCCAGAGGGAGTGATTTTTTATGGCGATACCAACTCAAAGGATGACTGGTTTGTGCTAGGACTTCGAGATGGCAGGCCTGAGATCCAAATGCACAATCACTTGGCCCAGCTTACCGTGGGTGCTGGGCCTCGGCTAGATGATGGCACGTGGCATCAGGTAAGCTAGATCTGGTCCTGAGGGGCGGGGTGTTCTGAGCTGGTCCGTGGAAAGGGAACAGAAATGGGTTTTCGGGCATCCCTGTCCTATTGTCATCTTATTCAATCCACACAAAACCCCCACTATGGGGGGAGTTGCTATGCTCATCTCCAGCTTTCTGGAGGGGAGCTCTGAGGCTCAAAGACTGAGTGAGCCAAGGATGCTTGCTGACTCCACAAGTCCATGTTCTTTCTGCTATACATGACTGCTTCTGAATAGAGTGGTGGAGGCAGACCCAGGGGCCCCTGATTCAGCTCTGCTCCTCCCTGCAGGTGGAAGTGAAGATCCTTGAGGATTCACTGCTATTGACTGTGGATGGGGAGGAGGTGCTGCGCCTGAGACAGGTCTCTGGGCCTCCAGCCACCAACACACCCCAGCCCATCATCAGAATTGCACTGGGGGGACTGCTGTTTCCCATCTCCAACCTCCGTTTGCCGGTAACTAGGACAACAGGGCTAGAGATCACAGACCAGAGCTGTTAAAGTGTGGCTGGCTAGGTGACCATGGGACTCTAAGGCCACACTTAAAAAATATATATTTTATTTATTTATTCATGAGAGACACACACACACACACAGAGAGAAGCAGAGACACAGGCAGAGGGAGAAGTAGGCTCCGTGCAGGGAGCCCGACATGGTACTCGATCCCAGGTCTCCAGGATCACGCTGAAGGCAGAAGCTAAACCGCTGAGCCACCTGGGCTGTCTCACTCCCTTTTTTATTTTTTTATTTTTATTTTTATTTTTTTAAGATTTTATTTATTTATTCATGAGAGACAAACAGAGAGAGAGAGAGGCAGAGACATAAGCAGAGGGAGAAGCAGGCTCCATGCAGGGAGCCTCACGTGGGACTCGATCCTGGGTCTCCAGGATCATGCCCTGGGCTGAAGGTGGCACTAAACCGCTGAGCCACCAGGGCTGCCCCCACCCCCTTTTTAATTTTTTAAATTTTTATTTTTTCCCCACCCCCCTTTTTAAAGAAAGATAAGGCCACACTTTTATTTTTTTTAATTTTTTTAATTTTTATTTATTTTATGATAGTCACACACAGAGAGAGAAAGAGGCAGAGACACAGGCAGAGGGAGAAGCAGGCTCCAAGCACCGGGAGCCCGATGTGGGATTCAATCTGGGGTCTCCAGGATCGCGCCCTGGGCCAAAGGCAGGCGCCAAACCGCTGCGCCACCCAGGGATCCCAAGGCCACACTTTTAAAGAGAGCCAAGGGCATGAGAGTTGGGTGGGAGAGGCCAAATGCTTGGAGGAGAATAAAATGAGGGTGGAGAGGCACTCCCATGTCTTGATCACGACACCCCCGCATCCTCCTTTCTGTCCACCTGCTCCAGCTGGTCCCTGCCCTGGATGGCTGTGTGCGCCAGGGTAATTGGCTGGACCCACAGGCCCAGACCTCAGAGTCTACCCCTGCTAGTAGCCTCAGAAGCTGTGCTGTCCAGTCCCAACCTGGGACATTCTTCCCTCCAGGAACTCGTGCAGAATTCAGTCTCCAAGGTAAAAGGCTGTTTTTTCCTCTATGGTCAGTTCTGTGTCTGCCTTCCCCTGTCTCCCTCCATCACTAGCCACCTCCCTCCATGAGTCCCCAGCCTTGAGTCCTCAGGTGGATCACTTCTTCCCCCGCCCCCAGACATTCCCCAGCCTCACGCAGAGCCCTGGGCCTTCTCTCTGGACTTGGGACTCCAGCTGGCAGCAGGTTCCGGCCACCTCCTTGCCCTGGGGACCCCAGAAAACCCTTCCTGGCTCAGCCTCTACCTCCAAGACCAAGTAAGAGAGGGTGCTGCCTGTATTCAGTGGAGCCTGGGGGCAGACAGGGTTGGGGTTGGGTGAAGGGGGACTCCAAACTGTTAATGTGAGGAAAGCTAAAGACACATCTTGAAGCTGCTCACAGTAAGCACATGGCATTTTATTTATTTATTCATTAGATTTTTTTTTTAAAGATTTTATTTATTTATTCATGATAGACACACACAGAGAGAGAGAGAGAGAGAGACAGGCAGAAGAAGCAGGCTCCTTGCAGGGAGCCCGACATGGGACTCGATCCCTGGTCTCCAGGATTGCGCCCTGGACCAAAGGCAGGCACCAAACCACTGCGCCACCTAGGGATCCCCTATTCATTAGATTTTATGTTTAAGGAATCTCTATATCCAACGTGAGGCTTGAACTCACAATCCTGAAGTCAACAGTCACACACTGTAGGAAGTCAGACAGCCAGGCGCCCCTACAAATGGCTTTTGTTTAGATTGCATTTACAAGGCGGGGGGGGGGGGGTAGTGTGGTTTTATAGAGTATCAAGCAAGGAAAATTGAGGCAGCATTTAGGTGATAGGAATGGTCGGTAGATGAAAGGTATGGCCCAGAGGCCCCATTGCAGTGGCAAGGGGTGGGGTTACGAGGAGTTGATGCAGTTCCTTCTCTCTCCCCCTCACCCCCCCACTCACACCCCTGTCCCACACACTCTGCAGAAGATGGTGCTGTCCTCTGGGTTGGGGCTGGAGCTGGATCTGCCCTTGGTCTTGGGACTCCCTCTTCAGCTGAAGCTGGCTGTGTCCAGGGTGGTCTTGACCCAGGGTTATAAGAAGGAGATCCTTGCTCTGCCTGCTTTGCACCTTGGCTTCCTCCTCAACTTGTGGGCCCAGCCCCAGGGGCTCCTATTCCTGGGAGCTCTGCCAGGTAAGACGGTGCTGTTCATGTTCCTTAGCACACAGCTGGAAGTAGCCAGAGGGAGAGGAGAAGACAGGCAAGTGTGTGTTTTTAGGGGGAAGGAAACGTCTGGAAAGGAATAAGAAAGGCCACAAGAAGAGAGGGGATATAGAGGCAGTGGGAGGAAGCACTTTAAAAAACTTAAGTCAGAGAGCTGAGAAAATGGGGGGCTGTTTGGGGGTCTAAGCTGCCCTAATTACCCCTCCATGCGCCCTCCCTCTAGGAGAGGCTTCTTCTGCCTCCTTTTGCTTGGATGGCCTTTGGGCACAAGGCCAGAAGCTGGACATGGACCGGGCCCTTAGACGAAGTCAGGACATCTGGACTCACAGCTGTCCCCAGATCCCAAGCAATGGCACTGACACCATCCATTAAATCCCCACCTACGAATCCCCTTGAACATCGCTCATTCATTTATTCAACAAGTATTAGCTGTGCATCTGCAACTTTGTCGCTGTGCTGAGCAGTGGGTCCTATTGATGAGTAAAACCAACCGTGGTGCTCCCAGTCCCCTGGGGGAGGCAGTCATTCAGCAAAGACCAAGGCATAAGTGGATGATTGGAAAGTGATGAGCACCATAAAGGAAATCATCATGAAAGCTTGGGACCCTAACCTAGTCTGGGGGTTCAGGGCTAGGGAGGAAGCTGTGACTTCTCAGGCTGAGATTCCAGCAGCACCCACTCACCCCCCCCACACACACACACTTCAGTGCAGGTCACTTTCTGGGAACCAGGAGCCCACCCACTTCCCGGGCATTTCCTCCCTGTATAACTTCAGCCTTCTCCCAGCCCAGGGGTTCCTGAGGGGTCTGGAGGGAAGGAAAGCAGTGAAATTCTGTTGTCCCTTCGATGGGCCACTGCTGTGCAAGGAAGGGACAGCAGGGGGTGTGAGAGAGCCACTGAGAGAGAGGGCAGGGGTTCTGGGAAAGAGGGTGGGAGCAGCTGGGAGAAAAGAAAAAAGGAGTCCTAGCAGAGGAAGAAGCAGTCTGCATCTCTTCCAGTCTTGGTCTACTTGCAGCATTCCTAGATGAATTCATCTCTACTCCATTAAACAAAGAGCTGGTTTAGGCTGGTCCCAGCTGGAAGAAACAGAGTCAGGAATATCTCTGCCCTCAAAGAATATGGTAACTCAGCCCTCAGCCCCCCAGACCTCTGCAGAATCCCAGTGCCCCAGCCCCTACTTGGGGCACCCTCCTGTCTCAGCCCCTTGCTTCCTGGGAAAACTTCAGACCCTCTCTAGGGCTGTTAACCCACCCCCCATCTCCAAAACCCATAGGGATCCCCACCTCCTGGCTTCTTAAAATGATTTTTCTCCCAGTCACCCCCAGCAACAGGGTGAGTCACTCATTGGCCCTGCTGTCCCGTTCTGCAGGGATCAGCCAGGACCTAAATGACCCCTGGATGAGGAGGCTCCAGGAGAGGCTCTGGGGTGGAAGAAACAAAGCCTAGGCTTCTCCTTGGACCCTCCCAATCTTGAGGTTGCTGGTCTACCGATGCTTCCAGCAGGTGGAGTGTTGTGGAGAGTCCTCAGCATGGTCAGGAAGCCCAGATTCAACTCCCTGAGCAATGTTTGGGGTCTGCCTGGGCCATTGGATATGTCCATTCAGCGGGTATTTACTGAGCACCTACTGTGTGCCAGGCACTATTTTAGACACTGACAACACATGGATGAAAAAGACACAATCTCGGGATCCCTGGGTGGTGCAGCGGTTTGGCGCCTGCCTTTGGCCCAGGGCGCGATCCTGGAGTCCCGGGATCGAATCCCATGTCAGGCTCCGGTGCATGGAGCCTGCTTCTCCCTCTGCCTATGTCTCTGCCTCTCTCTCTCTCTCTCTCTGTGTGACTATCATAAATAAATAAAAAAAATGGCTTTAAAAAATTATAAAAAAAAAGACACAATCTCTGTTCTTCTTCTTTTTTTTTAATTTATTTATTTATTTGAGAGAGAGAGAGAAGGAGAGAGAGCACCAGGCAGGGAGGGCAGAGGGAGAGGGAGAAACTCCAGCAGATTCCATGCTCAGCACAGAGCCCCAGAAGGGGCTCTCAATCCCACAACCCTGAGATCACAGACCCAAGCCAAAACCAAGAATTGGAGGCTTAAACCAACTGTGCCACCCAGGTGCCCCCACCATCCCTGGTCCTATGGAGCTCCCAGCACGGGGGCAGGGCAGACAGGCCATAAACAAAAAAAGTAAGTAAGCAAGATCATTTCAGGTAGTGCTTGGTGCTCTAAAGGGAATAAGATCCTGTAACGTCACAGAGGACAGTAGTAGATGGGCAGCCTTGGCCAGGTGGTCAGGGATGGTCTCTCTATGGTGGTGTCACTTGAGCAAAGACCTGAATAATGAAAAGAAACCAGTCTCGTGGGCGCCTCAGGTGTGAGCCAACGGGGAGGGCTAAAGGACCCTAAAAACACTCGGGTTCCCATCGAGGGGTGGTTCTGAGCAGCAATGTCCTGAACTTTTGTCCTTGAGGATTCTCCCAGGGGCTGGCCCTTCCCTCCTCCCCACACCCCACCCTGTCCAGGGCACCACACTCCCAACCTCTTTCCCCAGTCTGCCCTAGATTTCAGGATTCCTGATTACCATCCAGAGCTGTCTACACTCTTTCATTAAGACTGACTTTGCTCTGACGCAGAGGCTGCCAGGCCCCCACCAAGGGCACCTCCAGTGCCTGCCCAGTGTCCCCTGGCTCTCCCACACCCCTACAAACCTTTCTGGAGTTTGGCAGCATAACCTGCAGCTTCCAGGCCTGATCTACCTACTCACTCCACCCTGCGTGCTCTCTCTTCCCTCCCTCCTTCCCCTTCTTCCTCCTTCTCCTTTCCCTGCTTTTAACCAGAGAGTATTGGCTGTTGACAGTATGCCAGGCATACTGTAGTATATACTGTATTGGGTAGTCCAGAGGGATTCCAAAGATGAATAAGGTGCACCCCTGGTCCTGGAGAGCCAGAGTCTTGGGAGGGAAGTAGAAAGACGTGTAAAATGCTTTCATGGGAATGCCTGGGTGGCTCAGCAGTTGAGTGATTGTCTTCGGCTCAGGTAGTGATCCTGGAGACTCGGGATCTAGTCCCACATCAGTCTCTCTGCATGGAGCCTGCTTCTCCTTCTGCCTGTGTATCTGCCTCTCTCTCTGTGTGTGTCTCTCATGAATAAACAAACAAAATTTTTAAAAAAGTAAAAAATAAAATGCTTTCATAAAGATCCCCATGAAGTAGCTGCAAAGTTCTACCAAGGATTATCAAAGAGGTCAACTATTGAATGTATGAACCTGAAGAAATGCCTAGGTCTCTTGACCCTTCACTTTCCCCATCTACAAAATGGGGAAATGACTCTACTTGTAGGCCTGCTGTGAGCTGCTGATGAGTCATGTGGGCCCAAGGCCTTGCCAGCACTAAGTTCGGCCTTGTAGGAAGTGTTCAGTATATGAGAGATGTTGCTTCTGTTGCCACCATGAACCTCATGCACAGTTCTTTTTTTTTTTTTTTAAGATTTAAGTTATTTTATTTTATTTTTTTTAATTTTTATTTATTTATGATAGTCACAGAGAGAGAGAGAGGCAGAGACATAGGCAGAGGGAGAAGCAGGCTCCATGCACCGGGAGCCCGACGTGGGATTCGATCCTGGGTCTCCAGGATCGTACCCTGGGCCAAAGGCAGGCACTAAACCGCTGTGCCACCCAGGGAATCTCTCATGCACTTGAAATAGAAGTTGGAGCCTGCCGGGTGTAAAAGACAAAGAAGGTGGTGTGATGCAGCTGACCAGGGGCAAGCTGCGACCAGATGAAGGCAGACATCCTCATCTGAGCCATCCCAAAGAGGCTTCCTTAGGCCTGGTGGTGAGAGGCCCTGTATGTCCTCCTGAGGAGTTGGGGGGCTTGGTCAGGTCAGTGGCAGGACATCTATGTTCCTCCCCCCTTTTTTTTCCAATTGTGGCAAGATACACATAACATACATCCTTTTTTTAGAAAAAAAAAGATTTATTTATTTGAGAGAGAGAGAGAGAGAGCACACTCAAGAGCTCTACAGGGAAAAAAAAAAGAGCTCTACAGGGGGAAAGGGCAGAGGGAGAGAGAAACACAAGCAGACTCTGAGCTGAGCGTGGAGCCCGAGTTGGGGCTTAATCTCCCAACCCTGAGATCATGAACTGAGATGAAGCCAAGAGTCGGATGCTCAACCAACTTCATCCCTCCCAGGCACCCCCAATTTACCATCTTTGTAAACAAATTATTTTTTTTTAATTTGACCCTGATGGACTAAAACGTACCATCTTAACTACTTGTATGGCTCAGTGGCATTACGTTTCTCAGTTTTGGGCAACTCTCCCCACCATCCATCTCTGGAACTCTTCATCTTGCAAAAGCGAAACTCTGTGCCCATTAAATGATAGCCCTCCTGCCAACATGCCCATATCTGTGTGTTGGAGTTATCTTCTTTCCTTGTTCTTGTCTCTGCAAAGACTCATCTTGTTGGGGACCCAGATAGCTGAATCCCTGGGATTTGGGGTGGTGGAGAGGAGGATCAAGGAACACAGATTTCATGATAGCCTCTGGATGTGGGAAAGAGGGTGTGGGAGTTCTTGTTCCCTTCCTTCTTCCTGGAGATGCTGGTGGGAAAGCTGGGTTCCAGGAAGAGGTTGGAGGTTTGTGATGGCTCTTTGAGCTCCATTCCTTCCTTAGCTTATTTCCCTCTGAATACCAGTGCTGCACTTAGTAGCGTATTCCCTCGTACCTGTAGGAGAAGAAGACGTGCATGGGAGCAACAGGTAGCTCAGCCTCACCCCAAAAATACATTATTTTTCAAGGGACCGGTGTACAGGACAGAGACTGAGCCAGCAGTCTGGGGGCTATCCCCACCCCTGTATTTGCCAGGGCATGTGGTTTGAGGGTACGATCCAGGCCTCATCTCTCCAGATGGAGCCTGGCTCATTTCTATGCTCTTTGCCTGATAGCCTCCCTGCGGTTTCTAGCAGAAGGGGCCATTCCATGTTGAAGTACAATTCGGTAATCAGACTTTATCTTCCAGAGCTCTGTGAGTTGCTTGGGCATAGGATGACATATATGAAGGCTAAGGCCAAGGCCCGTTCTAGAAATGCTTGCAGTCTGATTGAAAAGATAAAATACACCACAGAGGTTTTCAGTCCAGTTACTTAAGATGAAAACTGAGACATTAGGCTTGATTTCTCTCTTTTTGTCACCCCCATTATTCATATGATGGTACTTCCAACGTAAATCCTGAACCTATCTTCTTGTCTCCACCCTCAAACCTGCTACACTGGTCCAGAGCACCCATGTCTCCTGCACTGGCTCCTGCAAAGCCCTCTCAACTGGTCTCCTTGCTTCCCGTGGTCCACTTTCCACACAGCAGCCATGGTGATTTTCATGAAATTTAATCGTATCACTCCCCTGCTTAACACCCTAGTATTGCTTCTACAATAATTGGATTAAAATCCAAACTATTCCCTTAACCTGTATGATTTGGCTTCTGCCTACCTCTCAGATCTCTTGTTGAACCAATCTTACCTTCCTTCATCGAAGCCCAGCTTTTGCATTACACTTTCCTCCTTCTGGAAGGAAGAGTCTTCTTCTACAGGTCCCCACAGGTCCTTTGAGTTACTCGGGTCTCACGCTGACCCTTAGCTCTTTGGTAAGGCCCTCCCGGACCATCCAGGGGTTCTCTGGCACCTCACCCTGTTTTATTTCTTCTGCATAATATTATAATGCACTGCTTTATTTGTTTGCTTGTTTTTGTTATTTATTGGAATGGGAATCCCGGGACCAGAACAGTGCCTGGCTCTAAGTAAATGGTCATTAGCTACGCATTGAATGAATGAATGGGAGTTGGGGCTGGACTCTGAAGGGTGGGCAGTCTTCCAGGATGAGGGAATGAAATGGACAAAGGTGTGAAGTCAGGAGTAAGCACAGCCTGTCCTGGGAGTGGCCGGCTCAGCTCCAGCAGAGGACTAGTCGGGTCCTAGTGGGAAAGGAGGTTGGGGACACGGGCTGGGTCTAGATTGTGGAGTGCTCTGAAGAACAGACAAAAGAATCAGGACTCTGTCCTGCAGGGTAACAGGAAGCCATTGAAGATCTTTGAGCTGAGGAGTAGCCTAATTAAAACTGTATCTTGAGAAAATTAATCCAGAGCCTGCCGCAGAAGAGACCGAAACAGAGCCAGCTGTATAATTTGCAGGAGGACCCAGTGCAAGAATGAAGATGTGGAATCCCTTGTTCAAAACGCAGGGGGGGAAAGTGCCAATCAGGGCATTGAAAGAGAAAAGGCTTTCCTTTTCTTCTGGTGTTCTTGTCTCAAATTCTCACAAGGTTTTATTATTTAATGTTGTTTGAAATAAAGAAAAGTTAACATTTATCCACCTTCAGGTTTCTGATGAGCACAGAAGGACTGAAAGGAAAAGGAATTGTGGGCAGCTCAGAGTTCTTCTTCCTCCCATGTCACCGTGGTCAGCAGAAGTGGTCTGCTGAGTCAGGAAGTAGCTTGCGCACCTGAAAAAGAATAGAATAAGATGCTTCAACCACCCATGTATTCTAGAAGGCCACTCATTCCCTTCTTTCCGTGTTCCAAGCAACACCTGCTTCCAACATAAAGCGTGGCCTCTTAGCTATTAGCATTCCGCTTATTCAGGTGTATGCCTAAAACACTCAGCTTTCTTCCCTTTGAATCTGGCCCAGCCCCCACGTGTGGTGGGTCTGCTTCAGTTCTGTGCCCAGGGAGCATCACAAATGGCAGGGTACAAGTATCTCCTCTGCGCACACATACTCCACTGTCCCGTTGGACTTCACTTACAAATGACAAGTTCAAAGATAAAATGAAGAGTTACAAGATGGTGATAGCAGAGCACTAAACCGAGCACAAGGCCGTTCTGAGCATCAGCCTCATTGAGCAGATCCCAAGTCCCTGAAGCTGGGCTGGGGGGAGAGAATTTAAAGGGGAGGGTGATAGAACAGGCATCGTTAAGGACTAGAGCCAAGGATAGGAGGTGAGAGTTGAAAGAAGAAACATCTCTCCAAGGAAAAGTGACAAGATTTGAGATAAAAAGTGACAGATAATGATTCTTAAGCCGTGGTCTCTAGAGGCTCTGGTAGCCCTCCTACTAGACTGTGGGTCTCTTGAGCTCCAGGAGAATCATGACTTTGCATCCCCAGGGTTAGAGTTGTGCAAGGTCTCTTGTAGATACTCAATAAATGCTCCTGGACCCAAGTGGGTAAATGGGGAAGGGGGAGTTCAGACATGGGGGCTTGGGGGGACACACAACACCTGAGCAGACCTGTGTCCAGGTCTGGGGTCTCAGGGCCATGCTAGGGGCCAGGAATGTGATGTTGGGAAGGGCTTTGCCCAGAGGGTGGGTGGGGACATGAGGAAGCCCCTGAATTCCTAGAGGACCAGGGGCTGGGGAAGTGGAGAAGGAGGCGTTGTGGGGGCTGGTAGCTGCTCCCCCAAGGAGAATTTCCCTCCGGTAGTGACGTCTGTCCTTCTCTGTGTGGTCTGGTCCAGCATCCTGGCAGGTGTCTTCTGTTTGTCTTGGTCTCTGGCTCTTTCTCCATTCCTCTCGCATTTGGCCCTGTCCATCTCCAGATCTTAGTTTCCAATGGCCGGCCTGGGGCCACTTCTCGGCAGAGATCGGCTTCCCTCTCCGGCTCCCTATCTCTCCGGGGTTATCTTTCCTCCGCTCCGCCCCGACACGCCCTCCAACCGCTCCGTCCATCTGAACCCGTCCAGTACCTGGGGCGGGGGGAGGGGAGAGACCTCCGTGTCCTAAAGAGGCGGCAGGGGGCGGACCCAATCCCTCTCTCCATATTTGCATATGCATGAGGTCGCCCGGGCCAGCGGCGAGGAGGCGGGGCTTCTGGGGGTGGGAAGGGGGCGGACACCCCCACAGTCGCCGAGTATAAAGACTGCGCGCCGCGACCGCAGGCCCCGCACTGCTGAGGAGCGGAGCCTCCGCCTGGGGGGCCCCCATCCCTGGCCGTCTCCCAATTGCGCGTCCCTACCCCACCCCCGCGGCCCAGCCACCGCTGGTGTGGCGGTCTCCGCTTGGCTGAAGGGCCTTGAACGGTCCCCCGGCCCCTTTCCACAGCCTCTTTGCATCTCGGATTTAGGGGCAGCCCCCTCCCCCACCCCTCCCTGGCCTCCTTGCACCCCTATTTTTTCTGCGTTTCGCTCGGGTTTTGCAGCCGTCTATTTTTGCATCCGTTTTCATTTTGTTTCTAGAAGGTTTGGGGGGGGGTGAGGCTGCAACGCACCCCTTCCCCTTTCAAACTCCCCTGCTCTGACGGTCCCCCTTTTCATCGCAGCTGGGGGGCCTAGGAGCCGTGCATCCTACGCCGCCGCTGCCAGCAGCCTGCAGCGCGTGGCGGTGCACCCCGGAATTTGCAGCAGCTGCCTATCTGAGGAGGGTCTCCCTCGCCCCCGCTGCCTTTGCTCCCCGCGCGTTCCTGAGCGTGGGGGGCCTCTGCGCGCCGCACCCCAGCTTCTCCGCAGCCCCCCGCCCCGCGCGGGACTCGCCCCCCGCCGCCAAGATGGTCATCCAGAAGGAGAAGAAGAGCTGCGGGCAGGTGGTTGAGGAGTGGAAGGAGTTCGTGTGGAACCCGAGGACGCACCAGTTCATGGGCCGCACCGGGACCAGTTGGGGTACGCAGGGCCCGCTGCGCGAGGGGCGGGGCGGGGGTCCGCCGGGCGACGCCCGGGGGGCACTGGGTCCCGCGGGCTCGGCCCCGGCTCCCTCCCCGGGTCCCCGGCGTCCGGCCCCCCTGCCGGGCTCTGGCCTGGGAGGGGGCCCAATCGCCGGTCTAATCTCCCTGGCCGGCCGCTGCGGAGGCGGAGAAAGTAGGTCACCGCCGCCTGCCCGCCCCCCGCCGAGCCCCCTCGCCCGGGGGGTCGCGGGCTGTGCGCGCGTGTCCGCACCGCGGCGCTCGCGCTCCCTCTCGGGGCAGGTCCGCTCGGTACGGGCGCCCCCCCACGTCCCCAGAAAAGCGCCCCTTCCCTCCCTCTGGCTCTCACTAGCTAGCCAAGCCCGTCTATTTTTAGCTTGTGCCCATCCCCTGGACCCTGGGAACATTCATGAGGGGGCGGGTCTTGGAGAGGTTGGGGGTGTGTGTGTGGGGGGGCTCTTCACAGCGGAAGTTGTCAGTATTCCACTGCTGAGCGTTCTCAGCTTTCTGTGGCTGCTTTGTGGGTGGGGGGCTGGCGGGGAGGGGTGGTCCGGGGAGGTTGTGGAGGTTGCATGCTTCGGGCTCGGGCTCGGATGTCGCAAGGCGCAGGGAGGAGTAGATACCAGTGGTGGTGAGAAGCGTGCATCCTCCGGCAGAGCGTGTCTGTGGGCTTGCCGTGGCTCCGGGCGCCTTCCCAGCCCATTGAGGGACTCAGGCGGTGTGGAGGGAGTGGTTGGTCTCTAGTCGAGGGTCTGGTGCTGGGCTTGAGTGCGGGAGAAGGGTGCCATTTTTCCAAAAATAATTGTTAAACTGGGGATTCGAAGCAATTGAATTTGCATTTCATCCACACTGACTGCATGCTGTTCCCATCAGCACCCCCTAACTGGGGGCCCTTGAGGCGGGTCCAGTGCCGTCCTTGCCTTAGGGGACCTGGAAGTCCAGCCCCTGGGATTGGCGGGGTCCCTGACTGCTGGGGGGCAATCTGGGGAAGCTTCATGGGGAACGCGTCTTCTAAGATGGAAAGACTGGAGGTCCTGGGTGGTGGAAACAGCAGGTGCTTACATGTCAGGCCCAGCAAGGACCTGCTCTCCACGGGAAGGCTCTGGGACGTTCTACCTTTGCTCTCCACCTCTGCTTTGTGGGTGCTGTGTGTGAACTGGGGGTGGGGTGACTGTTGAAGGTTCTGGGCAGCTCTGAGAGATGTGGTAGGTGGGCAGGAGTTGCGTCCAAGCTTTGACTTCCATGGGTGCCAGGGGAGAGGAGAGTTTGCTATTTGAGTGTGAGGGTCCACTCTCCTGGGGTGTGTGTGAGAGTTTAGTCGTGAGTGGTGGCCAGTGTCAGCTTAAAGTCATCGCGCTGGACAGCTTTAAGGACCAGTACTGATGTAGCAGTAGCAGATGTTGGGCCTTCTCAGGGCCATGAATGGTTTGAGAAGTTGGGAACATAATTTGATGCAAAATGACTGTGGCCTATACTTGGGGTTGTCCCAGCAACGAGAATTTAGGCCTCTTGTGGCCTCCACAAGGTTGGGCTTCACTATGCCCTAGGACTGGAGGGGGCTGGGAGCCGTGGCTGGAAGCCAGACACAACTGCCTATTTCCAGCTTGTCTCATTTTGCTCCCAGGGGGAAGGCTCTAAGATGTCCCCAAGACTCTGTGACCCGTCCGGGTGTTGAATCTCTGAGGGGAGAAGGGTGTGTGGGGACAGATGTAGTCATCACAGGGGACCTGGAACCCCCTGACTCCATTTCCTCCTTCCTAGCCTTCATCCTCCTCTTCTACCTCGTCTTCTATGGCTTCCTCACGGCTATGTTCACCCTCACCATGTGGGTCATGCTGCAGACCGTGTCTGACCATACCCCCAAGTATCAGGACCGGCTGGCCACACCGGGTGAGTGATGCAGCTCCCCACCAGCCTTTAACTGCTCCTGTGCTGCCAAGCCTCCCTCCCAAAATAACTCATGGTTCACAGAGACTTGGTTCTGATGACCCAATGACCACATGCAGGGAAGTGCTTGGACTCCGCCTTTCTTCTCATTTCCTGTACCTGAGACCTTTGTGATCTGGGAAGGTGCTAGATCTTCCTCCTGTGAAGACAATCTCACATCTTTACCCCATCCACCCATCATCCTGCAGCAGCTCCTTATTTCTGTCGTCTTTCCTCAGTGTGTGGTCCATACATATATATCCATTTGTGTGTGTGTGTATATATATATATTCTCCGCCCCTGCCCATGTTGGCTACAGGCTTGATGATTCGCCCCAAGACCGAGAATCTCGATGTCATTGTCAATGTCAGTGACACTGAAAGCTGGGACCAGCACGTTCAGAAGCTGAACAAGTTCTTGGAGCGTGAGTGTGCCCGTGTAGGAGCTTGGGCTGGGGACTGGGGGACCCTAGGAGCAGGACAGCTGGTGTGACTCCCCCCCCCCACCTCCTTAGCTTACAACGATTCCATCCAAGCCCAAAAGAATGATGTCTGCCGCCCTGGACGCTATTATGAACAGCCGGATAATGGAGTTCTCAACTACCCAAAGCGTGCCTGCCAGTTCAACCGGACCCAGCTGGGGGACTGCTCCGGCATTGGGGACCCCACCCACTATGGGTACAGCACGGGGCAGCCCTGTGTCTTCATCAAGATGAACCGGGTATGTGTGATCTTGGTCACCAGGGAGAACGCAGGAAGTGGGCTGGGGCCACCCTCTGCTGGCAGTTGCTTTCTTTCCCCAATGGGCACTCGAGAGATTTTGGGATGTTTGAGTGGCTGGGACAACAAGAGAGATGGGGCCTTTGGAGGCTGAGATCCATGGAGGGAAGGCTGAACGCATGTGTCCTTTCCATCTTCTTTCTCTGGCTCCTCACCCTCTCTCTCCTCCCTCCAGGTCATCAACTTCTACGCAGGAGCAAATCAGAGCATGAATGTTACCTGTGTGGGGAAGGTGAGTTCATCGAGCCTCGTCCACCTGCCCACCTGTTGCCCTTCATGGTTTCCACCTGATTCACTTATCTCTCCGTGTCTTCTTTTCTCTCAGAGGCCCCGTCACTATAGGGACAAGGGGGTAAGAGTGGGTGCCAATGTGGCTCAAACGCCAAGGGGCTCCCACCCTCTTGCTTCTCTCTAGGATGCAGGAACCTGCTTTTGTGTAGATGGATAGACACCCACCTCTCTGACTCCACCCAAGCCTGGGCCCCCGGCTTCTAGCCCCAGCCCTTTCATCTTCTCATCTAGTTCCCGATGACTGTGGCTTCCGCTCACCCTCCTGGTTCTTTCTAGGTGTCTGGTAGTTAGCACCATCTGCCACCACTCACTGTCCTTGGACCCCGCCTCTCTCCGCTCTAGAAAGTCTCCTTCTTCACTCACACTGCCTCCACCCTCCCCTTCCTACTGAGCCTTGATTCATTTCTCTGTTCTCTCTTGGCTCTGCTCCAGAAACCGATTCCTGAGACTGGGGTAAGAACGTGGTGTGGGGACTGCAGTGGGCCACTTCAGCGTCATTAGCACCCTTCAGGACTTCCCAGTCTGATGAAGGAGACAGGATGCCCCCTCCTGCGTTTAGGCAAACACACACACACACACACACACACACACACACACACACACACACTCACTCACTCACAGAGGCTCACAGCCCAAGGGAAACAGATCCAAGACAGAAATTATTTGGGGGCAAAGGAAAAATGGAGGGAAGTCTAGAGAGCTCTTGGGTTCCTGGCATCCCTAACATGCTCTCCCCCTCCCCTCCTTGTGCCCCCCCCAGCGAGATGAAGATGCTGAGAATCTTGGCAACTTTGTCATGTTCCCTGCCAATGGCAACATCGACCTCATGTACTTCCCCTACTATGGCAAAAGGTTCCACGTAAGTCCCGTGGGAGGCCCCAACTGATGCCTCCCCGGGGGAGGGGGTGTGGAACGGGGTCCTTGGGGAGGACACTGAGTTGCCATGGGCCCGGACCTCTGCCTTCCTCCTCTGGCCCAGGTGAACTACACGCAGCCCCTGGTGGCTGTGAAGTTCCTGAACGTGACCCCCAATGTGGAGGTGAATGTGGAGTGCCGAATCAACGCCGCCAACATCGCCACAGATGATGAGCGAGACAAGTTCGCTGGCCGTGTGGCCTTCAAACTCCGCATCAACAAAACCTGAGGCCCCTTCCTCCCGCCCCCCCACCACCTCTTTCCTATGGATGCTTCTGGAATGTCCCTGACCCTGCCTGATCCCTCCCTCACCCACCCCAAAGGTATTTTTTATAACAGAGCTATGACTTGTTTGAGCCTCACGCCCTTTTGTTCTGTACCTGTGAACTCAGCCTGATGGCCCTTGCTAGTCCCTGCCTTCAGCCCCCGACCTCTCCCGGTTCTGGCTGGGTCGGGGCAGGAGACCAGTCCCAGGGCGGCCCCAGTCAGGAACTGTTCTGGTTCTGCTTTAGCTGTGCGTGGGCTGTCTCCTCCCCTCCTGTCCCCAGAAATGCCTGCCCGCTCCCCTTCACACCCGCCCCCCTTCACACCCACCCCTTCACCCCTTCACACCTGCCCACCTTCACACCTTCCCACCTGCCCACCATCTTACCTTTACACCTGCCCCCTTCAACCTTTACACCTTCCCACCTTCAACCTTCACACCTGCCCACTTTCAACCTGCCCACTTTCACACCTTCTCACCACACCCACCCCCTTCACACCTGCCTTCACACTAATCCACCCCCAACACACACATTCTGTTCACGCCAGCTTGCAGACACTCCATTCACCTTTCTTTGTCCCTCCCACACTTTCTGCCTCATCCACAGTCACTTGTCTCCGTGGCTTTTGACTTATCCGGCTCCTCTGGCAGCGGCGATGGTGGTGGTGGCAGTGGCAGGTCTGTCCCCACCTCCCCTCTGTCCCCATTCCCTCCTCTGGAAAGACAGCTGTTTGTCATCAAGGACCAGGTGGCTCTGTGGCCTTTTCCCTGTTTTCTGGGACATCTGTCTTCTCACCCTCTGGTGACAGCATGCGCTGGGAAGGAGGGTTGGGAAGAGGAGTCCCTGTTGGCTCTTCTGGAATATTCTCCTGTCACCCAAATAGGCAGTCCTCGGAGGGATGGGGTTGACCTAGGCTGAATATGCCTTTGTGTTTGCTGATGGCTCACTTCTCCCTGTTTGTTTTCCCAGAATATCCTTCAAATTCCACTTCCCCGGAGCCCTGGGGGAGGGGCAGCCTTTTTGGCTGGGTCCCCAGTGGCCACCTTGGAAATGTCAGCTGGCTGTGGGACTATTTCACCTCCTTTCCCCCACTGCCCCCAGGCCCAGAGCTACCCCCACCATCCTCTCTCTGGCTTCTCTGAGCACATTATCAACTAATCACTAACTCCTTCCTCCTCCTCCTCCTCCTTCTCATCCTCCTCTGCATGACAGCCTGAACATTGCAAATAGCCCCTCTGTCTAAGGCTCTGAATTTCTTGGCCCCCCCCCATCTCCTTCAGACCCCTCGGCATTTTTAAACGACCCCATTGTGCCCATAGAACATTCCATGAGGGGCCTCTGGTGTTCTTGAGCGATAGTGCCCTTCATTCCACCCTCTCTAACTGTCCATTTCTTTTCTGACACTGCACCCTCCACACCCCACCCTCAGATGGACCCTTCCCTTCTTCCCTCTCGGTGGATCTGAGTCTCTTCCCTTCGGGTCCCCATGTTCTCCTGCATTCCCCTCACCCCAGTGGTCTCTCTCTGCAGTTATTTAATGCCTGTGTCAGATCTACTGTAAAAAGAAGATAAAGTACAATAAAATGAGAGCAATTATATATATAAATATATATCCTACACGGAGCCCTGCGTGTGGGTTATTCCTTTTCAAGCATTTGGAAGGGCTCTGGGAAAGGGGGTCTGAGGTGGTGGGATTGAGTGATCCAGGGCTTGCCCAGGCCTGTTTCTCAGCTTTGACCTCTCCATCCAATATCCAAGCATCCAGATCATTCCTTCATCTGTACCGTCTTTGAGATCATTTGGTGCAAGAGGCAGGAAGCCTACACCACTTTGTATAGTGATACTTATGATGTGCCTACTGTGTGCATTCTAGGCACCGTGAGGACAGACTTATGAAAGAGGCAGAGTTCCTGCTCCCAAGGAGCCTCCCAGTTTAACGGGAGAGGTGAGGAGTACACGAGAAACTCATACCAGGTAGACCTCCACAAACGTGCTTCCAGGGAGGGGAGCAAGCTGGCAAGGACAAAATTCTGGACTTTCTGTTGGGGGCTTCGGGTGGCAGGTTTCTTAGAGGCTTAAAAGCATAGGGTGTTTGGGGAGAGAGAATGTCAGCAAAATGCCCAGGGATATGAGAAAAGTTGACTGGAAGAAACAGATATCAGAACAATATAACTGTTGGGATCTCAATGTTGTGTAAAAAGCATACACGCAAGCATAGGAAAAAAGGATGTATGGGTCCATATTTGTTGTGATGTATGGGGATGAGTCTAGAGCTAATTTTTAGCTTTCTTGGTGTTTATTTTTGTTGGTTGGTTTACAAATAGTCTTAGGATTTACCATGAGAGTAGCTTTATGACATAGGCACATACATGCACAATTTTATCATGAGTGCATAGTACACACATGCACATGTGCACATGCACACAGATCACTGGGTTTGGCCATTGTGCCAGGACTGGATCCTAGTATATACCCTTAGGTGCATTCCGGTTTTTTCACTCAATACATTTTGCGTGCCACTATTTCACCTGGTTGAGCTCTAATATATGCTTTATTATTTTTTTTAGATGGCTGTGTAAAATTTTTCCTAGTGGGTTGTTCTTTCCTTCTTAATTTGTTCAAGCTCTCTGATAGCTAGAGATATAAACTGTTTTCTGCGTTGAGAACTTCCCCCCAAGCGATTGTTTGCCTCTTTGTTGAAAAGTGTTAGGTGTTAAGATAGTCCAACATGCTTAGCTTTTTTTTTTTTTTTTTTTTCTCCAGTTTCTGGGTTTCTAGTCACTAGAGCATACTCATGTTTTCTAGATTGGAGGTGGGGAGCAGGACATTAATTTCATTTAAACTTCAATGTTCACTTTAATTCCTCTGATATTTGTTTTTTTTTTGTGTGTGTGTGGTGTAAACCAGGAGTCCAATTTTATTGGGTTTTCCAGTTTTGTCTATTTTGCTTTTATTTAAAAAATCTAGGGCAACCTGGCTGGCTCAGTGGGTAGAGCACTCGCTCTTGGTCTTGGGATGGTGAGCTTGAGCTCCAGGTTGGGCCTAGTTTACATAATAAAAAATATATTTTTAAAAAATCTATGATTCACTCCCATTGAGTTGAACTGCCAACTTTGGCCATATAATCAAATTTCCTGTATGCTGAAATTTACTTTCAGATTCAGTACCTGCTGCCCCTGGCTTGTCTACCACTCCGCACACCAAGCCATGTTGATTTAATTCCAGTGGTTTTACAGTGTGTTTTCTGATGCTAGCAAAGCGAGTAGGTTTTCCTGCATTGATTTTTTTTGGGGGGGATGGTTTTATTTTTTTAGTAATCCCTACACCCACCCAACGTGGGGTTCAAACCCTTGACCCTGAGATTAAGAGTCTCATTCTCTTCCAACAGAGCCAGGCAGGCGTCCCTCTCAGTACTTTTTTGAGAAGATAAAAAATATTTCCCCATCTACTGTGTATCTACTTTTAGTTCCAACAATTCTTTTTTTTTTTTTGAGGGTTTTTTTTTTGATATTTTATTTATTTATTCATGAGAGAGAGAGAGAGAGAGAGGCAGAGACACAGGCAGAGGGAGAAGCAGGCTCCATGCAGGGAGCCCGACGTGGGACCTGATCCAGGGTCTCCAGGATCAGGCCCTGGGCTGAAGGTGGCACTAAACTGCTGAGCCATCCGGGGTGCCCCAACAATTCTTTATCATAGTCTCTTGAGTTCTTAGGTACAGTCATATGATCAAAAAGGCAAAGCAATATTTCACCCATGTTGGCTTCTTTTTTTTGAACTTCTTGAATGCATGATAACATTGTCAGTAGGCATCCTATATGGTTCTTTATTTCAATCTTATTGTTTAACCATTAGGATAATACCTCTTGCTATTCCATTACCATTTTTAATTAAGATGCTTTTTAAAGGAATGGATGCTGAAATTTAATAAAATTCCTTTCAGCATCTGTTGATATGATCATATTTTTCTTCTTTAACTTGTTAATGTAATGAATTACATTGATAGATTCTCTACTAAACAAACCTTGTGCTCCTGAAATAAACCTTTACGTACAGTGTTCATCTTTTGATTCATCAATGTATTCTGGTATGATTTTTAGAGTTTTGCATCAATGTAAGTTAATTTAGCTTCTGAGTTTTTATGGTCTTTTTAATTTTTAATTATTTAAAAAATATTTTATATATTTATTCATGGGAGACCCAAAGATAAAGGTAGAGACATAGGCAGAGGGAGAAGCAGGCTCCCTGTGAGGAGCCGGATGTGGGACTTGATTCTAGGACCCCAGGATCACGCGCTGAGCCAAAGGCAGATGCTCAACCACTGAGACACCCAGGCATTACTTATGGTCTTTTTATTTTATTTTTAAAAATATTTTATTTATTTATTCATGAGAGACACAGAGAGAGAGAGAGGCAGAGACACAGGCTCCATGCAGGGAGCCTGATGTGGGACTCGATCCTGGAACTCCAGGATCACACCCCTAGACCGAAGGCAGGTGCTAAACTGCTGAGCCACTCAGGGATCCTCCTTATGGTCTTTTTCAAAAAGATTTTTGTTAGAGAGAGAGTACATACAAGGGGGGAGGGGTAGAGGCAGAGGGAGATGCTGAATCCCCGCTGAGCAGGGAGCCGGACCTGGGACTGGATCCCAGGGCCCTGAGATCATGACCCCAGCCAAAGGCAGCTGCTTAACAAAGCCACCCAGGTGCCCATTTTTAGTCTTTATCAGATTTTCCTATTAATGAAACCACAAAAACTTTGCATAAATTAGACATTTCATTCTTGTCTTGTGACATGGAATAGTTAAGTAGCATTGGACCAGTCAATGGTCTTTGCTGTTTTCTTCATCAAGCTCTTTATTTTTTTCTTTTTAAATTTTTTTAAAATTTTTATTTATTTATGATAGTCACAGAGAGAGAAAGAGAGAGAGGCAGAGAGAGACATAGGCAGATGGAGAAGCAGGCTCCATGCACCGGGAGCCCGATGTGGGATTCGATCCCGGGTCTCCAGGATCGCGCCCTGGGCCAAAGGCAGGCGCCAAACCGCTGCGCCACCCAGGGATCCCCTCTTTTTAAATTTTTATTATTTTATTTTGTATTGTACTTTGTAAGTAATCTCTACACCCAATGTGGGGCTTGAACTCATGACCCTGAGATCAAGAGCTCCACTGAGTAAGCCAGCCAGATACTCTTCTCTCCTTTTTAAAATTTATCTTTTTTTCCCCCTAAACTTTTAACTAGATTTACCTTTTCCACCAAGTTTGCTTGGTCTCTCAACAATTTGTATCTTTTTTTTTTTAGTCTGCATGCTAGGTTCCTTTTGTTGCTGTTTTGGAATGAAAACATTTGCAGCTATACACGTTCCTCAGAGTACCACTTTGGCTGGGTCTCAGCTTTGGGAACCCGGTGTTTTTTTTTTTTTTTTTTTTTTTTTCATTTTTCAATAAAATGAAAAAGATTTTACTCATTTATTCATGAATGACACACAGAGAGAGGCAGAAACACAGGCAGAGGGAGAAGCAGGCTTCCTGCAGGGAGCCTGATGCTGGAGCCCCTCCCAGAACCCTGGGGTCATGATCTGAGCCGAAGGCAGACACTCAACCATGGAGTCACCCTGGTGTCCTGGGAACCCTATGTTCTTGGAATCAGGGAGGTAAGTTTTTGTTTTCCAAATTCCAGTGATATAGGGCTTAGGTTTGGAACTTGTGGGCGGGGGCCATGTCTGCCACAGGCCCCCGCATTCTAGAACAGAGGTAGGCAGAATAAAACACCAGCAAATGCCCACTGATGATTGAATGAACATGAGGTAAGAAAACAGCCAGGTGGGACCAAAGTTAGGGACCCGTTATAGGTCACACAACTCATCGCAGAACTGGCCTGCAAACCGAGCCTCATGCCCGGCCAGTGATGTATCAGCTCACAGAGGTTTCAGCAGAGCCAGAAGGGATCTGTTTTCAGAAGGAGCAGAGCAGAAATGAAAACAGCCAGGGACACACAGTCTAGGGAAATGTGAGTCAGGGGTGCTGGATACTAGTCATAAGGGAGCTTCAAGGTGACCCATCTAGGAGTGAGAGGGGTTTTAAGAGCTCTGGTTTGCCAAGGCTGGAGTGGGTGGAGAGAGATGGAGAACTGTCTCTGGAGATGGTTCCAGGTCTCCTGGGGAGTGTTTGGCATTGCCCAGGCAAAAAAGAGGAAGAAGGTGGTTTTGAGGCCAGGCAGGCTGGTGGCTGCACAGCCATCTGGGACCTTTGGGGCAAGCCAAGGTACTCCCACAGGAACTTTAAGGCTGCTTGAAAAGGCAGAGAGGACACTGGCCCCAGAGGCCTCTCTGGACCTTAGCACCCCACCCTCTGCCTCCAGGGAGGGGGTTGGCCAAGCCATGTCCCCAATGTCTCACCATCCCTTCAAGCACTGGCTTTACCAGCAGTGGGTGATGGGGAGAGCTTGCTCTCAGCCCCCCTCCCTGGGAGCCAGCAGCACTGAGGAGTAGAACAGGCGGGGTGCCGAGCCCCCCAACCTCAGCTCTCCTCCCTACCCCAAGAAGCCCTTTGAAAGGTTTTCCTGGCAGAGTTTAAAGCTTCAATTCATTGAATTGCCTGGCATGAGGCCCAGGATG